CAAAAAAATATGTTGCGTGATATATATATATATATTTATAATATAAATTTAGGAGAGAAATCAATTTAAATGATAAGAAGGATAACAACTATGATAATATATTTTTTTGGACAATCAATAAATTTTATGTAAATTTTTTCGTTAAAACTCGCAATATATTCTAATTTTGGAAGAGACAATATCCTTTCACCTAACTTTTTTTTTTTTTTTTTTTTCATAAAAATTTACTTCTTTTGCGTAAAAGAAAAGGATAAATCTCATGCATGCTATGCATCACCAATGATTATTCACTGCTATGATAAAAATGGTATGTTAAAATATTTGACCCACCACCAACAAGAATATTGTGTTGACCTTAACAAGAACCATTGAGACATCATGATCAATTATTAGTTATTGTTACCCTTAAAGCTTCTGGTTTGGATAAAAACAAACAAAATTATTGGTAGCTTGATGAAGTTTGGTAATTCTTATTCTTTTTTTAAATCTAAAGTGGACTGAGTATTGTCGTATCATAAAGACTTGACATGCCATGTAGTTATAATAATGACAATATATAATTAGAGATTGGTAATATATAAAAACATTTCTTTTGAAACATACATTTATGCATAACATATAGTATTGTTTATATAAAGTTTCGAGTTAAAGATAAAGATTTTAAAATTACATAAAAATAAAAGAGTATAAGTAGTAATGTTTTTTACATTTAAAAAATATTAATTTTAATTACTCATAATAAAAAGTTTTTTCATCTAAACTGTCTTATAAGTATTTGGATATTCGCTTACAATTTTTAAAAATTGAAATGCGAAAATTTATAAATAAATTAAAATATAAAAAATTTATTAAAAATATAATAAAAAATAAAATTTTGAGAGTTCATATTCGTAAAATAAGTATCAATAAGTTAATTTTAAATCTATTAATATTTGTACAACTATGATTCTTAATTAATGAGACAAAGGTAAAAGAAATCAAATAATCATTGGTAACCATGTGCCACGGTTGTTAGTATCTGTCACGTTACACTTTTTCCTTTGAAAGCTAGTGCTAATTATATAACTTGAAACACTCATTCTTGCCTTCCTTTTTTTTTTTTTTTTTTTAAAGCTAGAAAATTGATACTCTCTGTCTTTTTTTTTTTAAATTTTTTTTAGATGTTTCAAAATTATATATATATTTAAATATCTAAAATTCTTTTATATATATTTTAAAACTATTTTTATATATTTTTAATTTTTTGATACTAAAAATCATGAAATTTTACTTTTATAAAAAAATTTAAAATTTAATATTAGATATAATAAAATTTTTTTTTTTTAATTTCATGAAAATCAATAATGGTCGAACAATTTAGGCAGAAGAAATAGTAAATTTTCTTACCTTTAATCAATAATAATGATGTCGGGGAATTTGTTTACATATAGGTAAAAGGTCAACTTTTACCATGATGCATGGTGCAATTATGTTCTTCATTTTCTTTACAAGTGTTGCAAAGATTGACAGCTATGATTCTATTGACTTTGGAAGTAATTAATCATATAATTAGAATCAATCATCAATGTTTAGCTGAGTTGGTTTTACATAATAGAAATAATTAAAGTGTATGATCTTCTTGGGATAATTTATAATAATTAAATCTATTTCGAAGTAAAAGCTTTATCATCATATAATTTTAGATACAATATAAAATATTACGGAAAAAAAATAAAAATGACATGATTTAATATTTTAATAAAAATTATATAAAAATTCGATAAAAATATATATTTTTTATTTTTGTGTTACACAAATTATGACATAATAATTTCTATGAAAAATATAATTTCCATCATATACTTACCAAAATTATAAATTTTAATTTCTCTCCTTTTTTTTTAGAATTAAATATTATTATAAATAAAAAATTATATACTAAAAAAATGTAATAGTTTTTTGTATGCATATGATAGAGTAAATTATGTACTACATGATTGAGTGTTCTAACGTACAAGTGATTGGTATTCCAAGCAATGTCTCTATGCTACCAACTCAAATTGTGTGGATAATCTGGAGTTTGTGGCTTTTACTTGTCACTCGATTTGTCGATGATAGATTCATTGACTATAATATAATTTCTAGAGGAATGCTAAGGGCACTCGAGAAAATAATCTGCCAACAATACTTGAAATTTTATGAAATTATGTCAGTTTATTTTTGTAATTTAAAGTCAATTATCTGTTAAGATGGTCTTATCTTTTCGGAAGTTTATTTTTTTGACTGATAGAGGTGAAAAAAAAAATCAAAAAAACAAAAATCAATTCAAAATCGTAATATTTGATTTAATTTGAATTGATTATTTTTTTAGTTAATTTAAATCAAGTTCAGTTATTAAATATATATATATATATTAAGTATGAATTGAATTTCGGATAAGATGTGAAAAAAAAATCGAATCAAATCGTATTATATATTTTTATTAGTGTTTATATATATTTTAAATTTTTATAAAATAAAAATAAATATATTTAAATATATTAAAAATTTTATTAAAATAATATATAAAATAATACAAATAAAATTTAAAAATTGATAAACTAAATTAAACTGATAAAATTCGATTTAGATCAGATCAATTTCAAAAGAACATATCGATTTAGATTTTTAAAATTTATAATATTATGCATTATCTAAAAAATTGGACCGAATTCAATTTGATTCAAATTATTATAATCTTTAATGACTGATATTAGGTAATTTATAAAATAGGTGTCTGATTTTGAATGATAAAAATAAGTTGATGTAGTTTCATAAAATTTTGAATGTTAGGACGAGGTTGTTAAGTCGGCAGCCCTAACATTTCCTTAATTTTGAATAAAGGATTAATATTTTATTGAATCAGATGTTCGAACGTTACTAAATGTAATTTAAACTTTTACTATGAATATTAATGAAGTTGTGTTGCCACTCCAATTTAATTGTAATAGACTAAAGTAATTTCAATACGCACTATGTTACTTGAGGATTTTAACCTTCTAAAACGTGTGATCCATTGACAAAGCAACAGTTATGGAAGGTAACAAAAAAACAAAAGCAATCATTGAGGTTACAATCAGCTAGGGTCGACAATTCAGCCCGTTCCTGACGGGTTTCGATTCGATCCGATCTTATGAGATCGATTTTTTTTTTAAATTCGAATTTCGAGTCGAATCGAATAAGATTAAAAAACAATCGGGATCAAGTCGGATTCAGATTTTAGACAAATTTAACCCGATATTATATAAAATTTTTTAATTAATTAATTAATTAATTAAATATATTTATATAATGATATTTTTAAATATTTATATTTAAAAAATAATATTTTATATTTAAAAAATAATATTTTATTAATTTTGAGTCGGATACGATTTATATAACATTGGATCGGAGTTGGATTCGAGTATAAAAAAATAAAAAAAAATTTTATGTAAGATCATATTCGAGTTTAATAACACATAAAATTAGATCAAGTTCGGGGTGAGCAAAACTCTCCCCGAACCCGACCTGATGGCAACCTTACAATCAGTTTTTCAATTTGGCTTTATACTAAGAAAGATGATTGATGTAGTGTTTCTTCACCATCCCGCAATGATCAAAGTTTAATTAATGATGTAATGCACAGCCATTAGGTCTCGAAAACGAATTTCTTGCACACTCAATTCAACTCCATCTCTCAAAATTCAATTTGATTTTTTTTTTTGGAGTGAATATAAGTTGATTTCAAACGATTTGATCCATTAAAATTGATTAAATTTAACAAAATTAGTTCGATTAGTTCAGTTTCGATAATTATTGATTAAATAATTTGAGTTAATTAAAAATTGAACCCACCTTATTAAGAAAGATGATTGATGTAGTGTTTCTTCACCATCCCGCAGTGATCAAAGTTTAATTAATAATGTAATGCAAAGCCATTAGGTCTCCAAATCGAATTGCTTATACAAACTCAATTCAACTCCATTTCTTAAAGCTCGATTCAATTTTTTTTAGGAGTGAACATAAGTTGATTTTAAATGATTTGATCGATCAAAACTGAATAAATTTAATCAAATTGGTTTGATTAATTTAATTTCGATAATCGTTAGTTAAATAATTCGATTTAATCAATTTTTAATTTTTAAATTTATAATCGAACCCACCTTATTAACTAAAAATTTTAATAGATTTTTAAATATATTATATATATATAAATATTTTTTATTTGTGTTTTTATGAATGAAAAATATTGTATTAGTGGGAAAATTATATGGTGAGTTTTGTTAGATAAAAATTGTTGTAAATTATTATTCAAAATTGATGGTAAAAAAATAATTAAAAAAATTCTATCTGATCGATTTTATTACTTCGATTATTTTTTTTTATTAGTTCGATTATTTTTTTTTTTAGATATAAATCAATCAGTTTAATTAATATTTTAAAAAAATTTAATTAAATCGATTTTCGATTTTTCAAAATCAAACCAATTAGTCTAGTGTTCAACCCTACAAACTTTCCTCTCATTCCAATTTCAAAGCAATATTTTTAGCAAAGTTTTCACTTAAAACCGAATCAGTTACGAAGTCTTCTATTATATTCCCACTTGCAAAAATATCCAGGATCTTAGGCAGTATGAACGTAACAATATCTCTCGTCACCTTCTTTTTCCCCCGTCTTTCCCTACCGCGTTTATGTTAACGTGTTTGGCATATAAAGATCACCCTCTTCAACACACCTAACTGCTTCATGGCATCTCTTGCTTTTGCTTGTCCTGGTAAATCTGTTCATAAAACTTAGCATTCTTGTTCTCCATTGTTCTCAAAAGCCTCATCTCCATGTCATTCTTCTCCGCCATTATTACAGCTTGTTGATGCCCGTAAGGAAACTGTAACTTCTTCATTTATTATCCCTTTGTTATCTTCTGTTCCTCTCTATATAAATCAAGAGTTAAGGTCTCTGAATTCCCATAACTTGTTGGTGTTGAATTTTGATATCAAATACTGAAAATGAGGAGGGTTCATGTTCTGGTTGTGTTCTCACTGGCTCTGGTGATGGGAATAGCTGAGGGTTTCGATTTCCAGGAGACGGATATCGCGTCCGAGGAGAGTCTGTGGGATTTGTACGAGAGGTGGAGAAGCCAGTACACGGTTACCGATCACACGGTTACGTCCAGGAGTCTTGATGATAAGAACAAGCGGTTCAATGTGTTCAAACAAAATGTTATGTATGTGCACGACACTAACAAGAAGGACAAACCTTATAAGTTGAAGCTAAACAAGTTTGCAGACATGACTAATCTTGAATTCCGAAAAACTTATGCCGGCTCGAAGATCAAGCATCATAGGATGTTACACGGGAAATCCCTGGGGACTGGGAGCTTCATGTATGAGAATGTAGACAGTGTTCCAAAATCTGTTGATTGGAGGAAAAAAGGAGCTGTTACTGCCGTCAAGGACCAAGGCCAATGTGGTAAGGATACAGTTTCTGATATCATTCTTTTAATTGCCATCCATTCATCCAACATCAAACAAGGTGTAGGATGTTAACCTCTGCTCGTATTACGTGTGGTCTAATTCTGAACTTGTAGGTAGCTGCTGGGCATTTTCAGCTGTTGTAGCAGTTGAGGGTATTAATCAAATTAAGACGAACAAATTGGTATCCCTGTCTGAGCAAGTTTTGATAGACTGTGATACTGAAGAAAATCAAGGATGCAATGGAGGGTTGATGGACGTTGCATTTGATTTCATCAAGAAGAAAGGTGGGATCACTACGGAGGCCAATTACCCTTACAAAGGTGAAGATGGAAGATGTGACGTTTCCAAGGTGCATAATATCTGAATTAAATATGGTTTATATTCAATAAAGATTCGTTTAAATGAATTCATGAGAATCCGTCGGGTGGTTATGCAGATGAATTCTCCAGCAGTGTCTATTGATGGCCACGAGGATGTGCCTGCCAACAATGAGGATGCTCTGCTTAAAGCAGTGGCACACCAGCCAGTATCCGTGGCCATAGACGCTGGGGGTAGCGATTTCCAGTTCTACTCAGAGGTAAACTTTCAAATTGATCTGATAAGCAAAAAAAAAAACAACTAAATTTCTATCTAAATGCCACTTGTGTACAAGAATAGTAGAAATATCATCTCTCAATTTTCAATAAATTTGACTGCAGGGGGTATTTACTGGGACATGTAGCACTGAGCTGAATCATGGAGTTGCAGCTGTGGGCTATGGAACAACTCTTGATGGAACCAAGTATTGGATAGTGAAGAACTCCTGGGGATCTGAATGGGGAGAGAAAGGTTATATAAGGATGGAACGTGGCATCAAAGAAAAGGAAGGACTCTGTGGTATAGCAATGGATGCTTCATATCCTGTCAAGAACTCTTCCTCTAATCCTAAAGGACCGTCAGACTATCCTAAGGATGAACTCTAAACAATTCTAGCTATTGATTCCAGCTTTGTTCTTGTCTCAGCTGTTATTTCCCTCTGTCCAAAAGTTGCATGCAACAGAATCATGGTTGAATAATATTCCCTTAAAATTTGGTGTCAATTTTATCTGTTACAATTAATGACTTTGAAAGCAAGTAAAAAAATAAATGGTTTAATGTTACAAATGACTTTTAAATTATAGTGAAATGTTTAATGTGGTATTTAAATTTTAAAAATTTTTAATATGATAACTAAACAATGAATCGGTTAACTACCGTGGTTAACTCCAAAAGATGACAAATAATCAACAAACAATCTTTTAAGTATCACATTAATTAACAAATTCATACTTTACGAATCATGGTGTCAGATTGAAAATTCATTATAATTCAACGACGATTCACGACATTATCCAAAGCAAATTAAAGAAACCAACAAGTACTCCAGAATCCAGTGATATCTTTAGAACATAACAAAAGGCAACAGAATAAGCTTGTCTATTAACAGACAAGAACCTCAATTGCTGTTCTTGATAAGTTAAAAGACTAAAACTTCAGATATTACGTACATTTTCAGCCGTAGCATCTGATGGGGTCAGTGCACCCACTCCAGCCTGGTTCTCATTGTAGTAACATATCCCCGATCCGTATTGTGCACCCACATCTTCACCCTGACAAAGTTTGAGGACCCATTAAGAAAAAAAGAAAGGAAAAAGAAGAAAAACTGGAGAGCATTTTAATCAAATTTGGGATACCTGCCGATTCAGAGTGGTTGGATCATGGCAGGCCCAGAAAAGGAGCAGACTTCAGGGTAGAACTGGACACGAACCACTTAGACGTGGTCGGTGGAACCGGTGCAAACCAGCTTGTAATTTGGGTCAGGGACATGACCCCTTGAGTAGTCAACCTCTATCTTGACTATAGTTCCACCCGCACTTATTAAATGTTATTTTGTAATTATTTAAATTAATTGAATTAAATTCTAAATTTTTTTATCCAAAAAATTCATAAAAGAGTCACTGATCAAGCAAAAACATTTTGATCTTTAGAAAAAAATTAGATAATATGATCTATTTTGACAACTACTACTTTCCATCATCGTAGACATATGTACATGACCCTGAGACATATGTACTAGTATATTCCATGTACAACCTGGGGATCATGTCCAGGTACAGACAATCCCATTCTTATCTGCGGAGGCTAATGGCTTTCCAAGTCCCTCCATGCACAACACAGGACAGGAGCAGTGTGCTCCTTCAGAGTGCTTACTATGTCAGCTTTGGATATTGACCAAATGTAAATGGATCCATCAGCAGAGCCAGCAGCAATATAATTGTCGTCTGGACTTATACACGAGCGACTCCAGTTCGATGCCACTCTGTTTCCGGTTGCTCTGAACGTACCACAGACTTCCAATGATCGCGTGTCAAACAAATTGTGCAAATTATCTCTGCCACTGGTCAATACTACATTCCCGTTTCGGGACAGAGAAAGAGATGTAATAGAGAGTGAATGTGACGTGACTTCACCAAGCAACTTTCCTGTCTGAATATCCCACAAACGAAGATTCCCATCAACATGACCTGAGCATATGGTTAGTCCATCTGTGCTGAAGCAAAGAGCATTGCAGTTGCTGTGAAAAATTATTGTGTTAGTGCAGTAACCTTTCTGCAAATCCCACACTTTTATAGTACGATCATAAGCTGCACTCACAACATGACGCCATGAAACTGTGCTCACATCTACCGCGCACACTTTATCTGTGTGACCTGTGAGAGTATGATGGATGCGTCCTGAGTTGACATCCCATACAAACAAGTTGTTTGAACTACTTGCTGCTATTATGAATCTATTGTCATGGGTAATTGCAAGATCTAGGACAGAACCAACGCAGCCAAAGAGACTATTGCTTAAAGATCCAGTGCTAGTATCCCACATTTTGATTGATTGATCTTGTCCTCCACTGATCAATTTGCCAGAATTGCACTCAAACAGTATAGAAGCACAACCACCTTCATGGGCACTGATCCTGTGCTTGCAAGCAGAGGGAATGATTGATTCCGCAAAGAACTCAGCACCTGCTTCACTTCTACGGACAATACCATCTACTTGCTCTCGGGCAAGTTTTTCTAAATCACTGGCCTTAAGTTGCTCAATCATATCTTCATAAAGCGCATTTACCTAAATTAATTAAAGGAAAACTAAAGTTAAAAATAAATTATAGACTCTTTCAAAAGTAAGGGATAGAATTAAAAACTCATTCCCACATATATTTGGCACTGCAATTTCAAACTCAGACTCAAGTGTTACATCATTCTAAAGGACACTATTGCTCATTTAATCTCCTCTCAATTGTGACAAAGTTAAAGGAATATAAGAAAAAATGAACCTAGAAGTTGAAAAAAAAAAAAACAAAAGAGTTACCACCGAATTCCTCTAGTCATTCAAGACCACACTCCCTTTCCCTAAAACCAAAAATAGTTACCGCTGCAATTATATTGCTGATGGGTCAAAAACACCAAAATTTATTTGTTTAAGAACATCCTAAAGATTAAACACAATCCCTCCAGGCTCCGAGCCGGCGAGCCCCCACTTTTTCATAGTTTTTAATTTTTGTTATTCCTTTCTACTCCTTGTCGTGCAATGCAAGGGGCATGTAATATGGAGTTGATGATTATCGTAAGATCGTTTGCTTCCTATCAAGTTTTGAAATAAGAGAGTCTCAAAGAGTGCTAATAGTGACAATTGTATAATGTTCTAACTTAGCTACCTCGTAGCATGAATGAACTCTTAATGAATCACAAACGCAACACGTTTTAAATGTCAAGCATATATGGAACCTAGCTATATCATTCTCAAAGTCACCTGATCAAAAATTGACCCTGTTCTGTGTTTTCATGTAGCTGTTAGTCTGTAACAACAATATACCATACCTCATTAAGCCGTTCAGCATCCTGAATTTTTTGAAGCATCCAGCGATCAACTAACATCTTGTTTTCAGCCTCTACATTTTTAGCTTTAATGGTCAGTTGTTCTAGTTGAGCTTTGAGTTCCTGGTGCTCATTCATCACCAATTCCAAAGCTCTAATCTTTTCTTCTAATTTTGTCTTTAATTGAGAGCATTCATCCCTGCCAGAATAAACAGTCAATCAGTTATTCATTTCACAGCAACTTCAAATCTGAAAAACTATCTCTCTCGCTGACCAAACCATTTAAAAAAAAAAAAAAACCAAACCTGGTTTGGGTCAACTCCTTCTCCAATTCAGCAATTGCTGTTTCTTTCTCTTGTAGAGAAGCTTTTAAAGCTCTAGACTCGGCTACTTCCGCCACTAGCTGCTCAGATAATCTTGATTGCACTTTATAAAATTGCTGAAGTTCCACTTCCAAGTTTTCCACTTTGTCTTTCCATTCTGAACCCTATAACAAAATTTACCAATCACCCAACATTGCATAGTGGTTTATATTCTAATGGAAATCCAAAGATTTATCCAAAATGGAAATTTAACGCATTGTCATGATTAGGAAAATGCCAAAATAATAATAATAATAAAACCTGGGAAATGATGGGCCTGGAAAGAGCAATATAAGCAGAAGCATGAGCTCCTTCTTCGACCAAGTGTCGTTTCTTCAGCGCCTTCAATGCGTGCTTTATAGCTTTTCTCGCTATCTCCTCTTGCGACCTGAAAAATTATATCAAACCGAAATTCATTAACATTAAAAAGAAAATAGAATCCAATTTTTCAAAATTTCTGTTCTCAAAAAAAAAAAAAGGTTTTTCCTTAAGAAGAAGAATAAAAGAAGGAAGGGGAAACTTGATTTGACTTACATAAAGATTGGATGGAGTTGAATATTTACGAATTGGAATTAGGGGTTTGGATTGGGCAAGATATTGATATATAGGAAGAACATTGTGACTCAGACAGAGAAGGCTCGTTGATGAGATTCTGAGATTGTGTGAGGGTGGTTCTGGAAGATAAAACTTTTTCAGGCACGCTTTCAAAGTACCTTGCACTTCATACCTCCTTAAAGATTATTAAAAAAATATTTGATAACTAGTTCTGTTTTTAGCTTTCAAAATTATATAGATAAACATTGTTTTTAGATAAAGATAGCATAAACATTTATATATAGTATTAATTTTAGATATAATAATTTATATATTCATATTTATTTATTTCACATATAAAATATTAAAATTATTATATTATAATTAATATCAATATCCTAAAAATAAAATATCTTTTTTTAATTTTTTATTAGACTTATATATAATTTTTATTAAAATTTAAATTATGTAATACAAACATTTTTTTGAGATTAATATAGTATAAAAATTTATATATATTTATTTTTTATATATAATAATTTGTATATTCATATTTATTTATTTCATAACAAATAAATATAAAATATTAAAATTATCATATCATAATTTATATCAACATCATAAAACATATTTTTTAATTTTTTATCAAACTTATATATAATTTTTATTAACATTTAAATCATATAACTTTTATCAATTTTTTTTAATTTTTTAATCATATCATCATATCCTACTTAAAATTATGAGTCTAACTAATTTCAATGTCAACCAAGATTTTTTGTTTGCATGACCAAACTCCTAACATATTTGTACAATCCAAGAATAAAGGGTTTTTTTTTTTTTTAACAAATGAATTAAGTTAGTTTTTTATACTAGCATCTAAAAACTAAAGAGCCAGTAATTAAATTTAATATTTGATCTCATTGCAATTATCTAACATATCTCGACAAGTTCAATAGTGTGTTTTCTATCCGACAATGATTCCTGCAACTGATTGATTTCTTAAGAAACAAGTTATAAATTGCTCCAATTCAGACACATAGAACCATCTCTCTTCTGCTTTGGCAATGCCATGAAGGCATGAACAAGCTAACATATGAGATATCCATGACTTTATAACACAATATACAACAGAAAATCTGAACATTAGAGTGATATAGTGAAATAATAGTTGTTCATTACAAGCTTTCAAATTTTTCACAACAAAAACAGACAGGTTAGATTCTTTCATTGAAAATCAAAGAGAACAAATCTCAAAATTATACCAAGCCTTGCAATCCATGACACCCTTATTGTGCAGCTTTGAGGACTCAAATATACCAAACTCTAAAATTCATGACACCGTTATCGTGCAGCTTTGAAGACCAAAATACAAATTCTGAAACAATATGTTATTAGTCCAAAACAATTCCCCCATTTTCCCCGGTTTCTACTTCCTCTATTCACTCCCACTTGAGCAAACTCAGTGAACCAATTTTACGAACTTCTATACTCTTCGGATTCTATCTAACCAATCGACACTCTTCCTTGCTTTTTCTTGCCGGTGGTCAATGCTTCTCCTAGATTTATCAAGGTATTCCACACTTTGGCGGGACCTTTCCATCCTTTCCATTTGGTCTAAGGATATTCTAAGCTTTTCTAGCTCGTCGATGTTATTAAGTTTATCATACTCATGAAATTTCGGTTTTTCTGGCCTATCAGTGCTCTTCCGTGGCTTGTCTCTTCTATCAGTGCTTTTCCTTGGCTTTTCCCTGCTATCAATGCTTTTCCTTGGTTTGTCCCAGCAGTCTGTACTCCTTCTTGGAGCCTCAAAATATTCAGTACTTTGCCTAGAATGTTCGATACCATCTGTACTTCTCTGAGAACCATTTCTTTGAAAAGACGACTTCTCAAATGTTGATATAAATTTCTTGAGATGCCTAATATACTCTGGGTGGAGTTCCAAATCACAGTGATTTCCTCCTTTGATCCATAATGGTTCATATTTTTCTTGGCACAGTTCCCAAAGTCGCTTCCCATGAGAGCAGTCAACAACATCATCATTAGTTCCCTGAATTTCGATACCAATATGAAATCAAAGAAGTTAGAACCCATAGCAGATATTCTTTGCAAGTTCGAAATAGCGATAAATAAATTGAAACAATACCAATCATACCCCCAACCCCCAAGGGCACCAAATAAATACATACACACAAACGATTAATTAGAAATAAGTAGCATTCCCATGATTGTTTCATGCAATTAAGAATGCAAAATATTGAATTTTGGATACTTACATGAATTATCAGCACAGGACACTTTACCAATGAGATTTTGTCAATATTCTGCAAATCATTGTACATCAAGTTGAGACACTCAATGAAACAAACATACACATGCTTCAAACATTAGATTTGATGGAACTGAATAGATGAGAGAGCAGAATGTCTAACCTTGTAGATGTCAAACCAGTAACTGCGCTTCATAGGATACATGACTCTTAACCCTGATAGAATAGGACTATGCAGAACAACAGCTCTTAGTCGAGGTAAACGAGCAGCAAGATCCACAGTTGGACCGCTTCCCACAGACTGACCATATAAGATGATATTTTCTTGCCTGGCACCATAGTTCTCTTCAAGACACTTGTATGCAGCTTCAATATCAGCATATGTATTCTGCTCACTGGGCTGAGGAAAGATATATATATGAACTTCAGAGAGAGCTATCAGATACATTTAATTGAGTCATGTACTAAGAGTACAGTATTCATGCTACAATTACCTTTCCTGATGACTGTCCATAGCCAGAGTAGTCATACCTGCAAAGATTCACATGTTATGTTCAAATAGTAATGGGGAAAAATCACTGGTTTCACACATTAATCTTACAAACTATATCAACTACAATTAGGCATTTCATGGAGGCTGAAACAGAAGCGCCAACGTAACACAAAAGGAAAGATCCATATTCTTCTACTTCGCAAGCCAATTATAACTGTTTATATAACAGTACCATGGAATAGATGAACACATAAAAGGTAATTCCTAAATTTGCACTTTCATAGAAAGCATTTTCTTTCTCACTCTAAGAAAACATTTGCTTGCTCATACATGGCAATTACAACCACCTAATTCTCCATAACTGTTCATTAAAATACCAGTTTCCATTAAACCCTCGATCTAAAACTGACTGTACAGACAACCATGAAAGGCTAAAAGCTATTAACCCCTAGTTGAGAGTATTGTACTAAACAATTCTGATTTGCCCTTCTATGCCATTTCACCATTGTTTTAATTGATAAAGCAAGGTGGACAGATAGTGACCAAAATTCCTTAGATACCACCATCCTGCACCACCATTTTGAGGCTTCCTAACCATAACAAGAATCAAATACAGTAACAGAATAGGATACTTGAGAAAACAGATCTGCATTAAGAAATCAAGCACCACAAGAATTCAAACTCTGAATTCGGTTGACCCATGAACAACCTAAATTGGCATACTGAAGCTCACTAGACTAAACGAGTAATTAGCGCAACAGTCACACGCAATCAGAGCACTAAGACAAAAGTAACAAAAATTCATAGCTTTCACAAAACTCCCAATAATATCAACACCTTAGTCTTACCATATCCATTTCTTCCAGATGAAGGAAACTCAAATTCACCCCAAAAACTCCCTCTTGGGAAAAGTCAATCATATAAAATGAAAAAGAAAGGCTCATTTCCACACCAAATTCACATACTTAAACATATGTACAATTATCATCAACAAGATGAAAAAAATACCAATTTTGCACAAAGGGTATCTAAAAAAAGCAAAAAAAAAAAAAAAGGAAGTAAATACTGGAACAGGTACCCCATGAGATTGACTCTTAAGTGGAAGCTGAGTTCGATGAAAAACTTATACATTTGGCCAACATCAGCCGCGTTCCCATGCGAATACAGCAAAGTTGAGGTGGCCATAGGGTACCTCACGTACACAGCAACGATTTCGGTGCCACGGCGAGTGGGGAGACGCAAAACGTCGACGTTTTCATGGTGAAGAAAAGGGTGCAAAAGCAAAATCCCAGTTTCTCCATCCTTAATTAGCTTGTATGAAGGTGGGTTGGGAGGGAAAAACGCAAACTTTGCAGCCATAGATGACGTCACCCCACCCATCTTTCCTCTTCAGTTTTCTCCCTGTCTCTCTTCCTCTGTAAATATTGGGATTTTGGATTAGAGTTTAGAGGGAAAAGAAGAATAAGAAGAAGCTGATTAGCATTCCCTTTTCTTTTTTGTTCTTTCCTTTTCAGAGGATGTTTCGCTTGGTGTCTGCTTAGTAAGAAGAGAGAGATTTGAAAGGAATAACACTGTTCTCTTATATATATATAGGCCAACTTGGCAAAATTAAACAGTGGCAGATGGTTAAAGCATATTAGGCAAAGGCTTCCCAATTCCTTATGTGCAAAAATGGAAAAAATGAAAGGATAAAGTATGAAAAACAACCTTTTGAAATTGATTTATACTTTATGTGAATGTTTGGTAGGTGTTAGAAAAAAAAAAATCAAAAATCGATTTAAAATTATAATATTTTATTTATATTAAATATATATTAAGTTTAGATCAAGATTTTGGCTAAAAAATAAAAAATATAAATTGAATTAAATTATATATTTTTATTAATTTATATATATATATTAAAATTTTATAAAATAAAATTAATTTATATATATTAAAATTTATATTAAAATAATATATAAAAAATTGATAAACCTAATCGAATTAAATCGATAAAATTTAATTCAATTAAAATCGAATTATGTAAAAAATAAATTCAAATTCAGATTGAATTTTAAAATTTTATTTAAAAAATTAAATTAAATTTGTTTCGATTTGAACTAACGTTATCTCTTACATAAACAAAATTTATCAAATCATTTTATCGGTTTAATTGATTTCAAAATAATGTGATAATTTAAAAAAAATTCATCCATCATCTGTATGAAATCTTCACAATTAACATATAAATTGTCCCGTAACATTATCCTATTTTAAAGATAATATATGTTGTCTAATTTGGCAAAATTGAAGAATGGGAGACTATGAAAGCAAATTAGGCAAAGGCTTCCCAATTCCTTAAATGCAATAATGGAAAAGCTAATTATATGATTTTAATCAATTTTAAAATAATATAATAATATAATAAAAATCTCTTCTCATCGATCGTCCAAAACCGTCTTTAACCGTTGCCGTCCAGGTGGTTGTATTCATTTTTTATTAAACGGCTCATGATTTGCAGTTCAAGTAAGTCGGGCAACGTTTTGATTTAAGGAAGGAGGGGACCCAAATTTTAATTATATTACTTAATAATACAGCTCAAATGTTAAGGATCACAATTTGGTACCACTTTTAGGAGAAAAAAGAAAAAATTAAAATAAAATAAATTAGACGTGGACGGTTCAGATTGTAAGATGGAAATTAATCACACATTAAATCAAGCAACCAAATCTTGGTAAGAAAGATGAATGAAGTTTGATCTAAAATTTAAACCAACCAAGCTGTTTGGTTTTAAACATGATGGGAGATGGGACCAATTTCCAGACAAAACTTTGATGGTTTGCTTCCTCGGAGGAAATCTGAGTTTGGACCATCAATATTTTTTAAATATTATTTCTTAAGGTTGGTATTAGGGTTGTAATCGAGTCGAGTTAATACAGTGAGAAATTCGAGTTCGAGCTCGACTCCTAACTCACAGTTCGATATTCAGCTCGAATTCGATCGAGTTTCATTTTCTTAGCTCGAGCTCGATTCGTAATCGAATTTGAACTACTCGAATTCGTTTGATTAAGTTCGAAAATATGTAAAAATAAATTCGAGGTCTTATACTCGACAAGAGCTCGATTATTTGTACTCGAGTTCGAGATATTTTATTAATTAAAATAATAAAAAAAATTTAAATATAAAAGCTCGATTAGGCTCGTGAGCTACTCGAGTTGAGTATAAGAATACTCAAACTCGGCTCGATCGATAAGTCGAGCTACTCGAGTTTGAGCTTGACTTGATAATAATAGAACCGAATTCGAGTTTTATTCGAATCGAATCCGAGTAGCTTGCGAGTACTAATATATTATTTACACCCCTGAGTATTAAAAGTAGGTTATAAAACTATTAGTGCTATCCACATTTGAAAATAATCATATGATACTATCCAAAGAAAATTTTCATGAGCTTATTTTAAGGATGTTAACGGGTAAAATATGGGGAGATTAGAATATATTTTATCCTCGGCTTTGAATTTTTAAAATATACTTATTTTATATCTATGTTTAACGGATATTAAATTTATTTTATTTATATTTCTATGAGTATTTAATGGGTATAATAATCTCATACTCATAGTTACAAATGAAATAAAAATAAAAATTTATGTTTTAGGCTTTTTTAATTTTTATTTTGTATATTTAGATGTTTTTTTTTATAAATATATATCAATATATATATTTTTTCAATAAAAATATGTTAATTTTAATTAATCTCAAATAATAATTTATATTATTTAATAAAAATCTATTTATTAAACATAAATATAAATATATATGAAAAATACGAATACAAAATGGGTGTTATATTATCTATTTCCATCCTACATCTAATAAAAATTTAAAATCATATCTATTTTTAATCCCATCCTCAACTAAAAAATTAAATTCTTTATCAAGTATGGGTAAGATTGCATCCCTAATTTACTCTTTCTTTTTTTTTAATTTTTAATAGAATGATGAGTTTACTTCTAAACACTAATGATTATCATGATATATTCGATGAAAACTATAATTTTTTTATATTTAAATTTGTCTAGAATTGTATTTGATTATATACTTTGATTTGTCAAATTAACAGTTGATATGGTAACAAAATGCTTATAATTTTTTAAAATTATCTTAATTTAATTATAGGTTAAAAATAATATTTTTTTTAATAGTGATTGTGAGGATTATGTAGTCGAATCTCAAGACATTTCCCTTGAAAACACCGACTTTCCCCTAGTGCGGTTCCCACATTCTCTCATCATAAACTAAAACTAAATTTAAATGCATGGAGGGGTTTACATGCTAATAATGACTTTGCTTATCCTGCAAAATATCTTATTACCTGGAAAAGATGGAAACGTATAATAACCCCCAAATAAATAAATGCTTATGTGTATATATGCATGTGCAATTATGAGGGAGACAGATCTTTTGCACAAATAGATTTCAGAAACGGTTAAGGAATCAGGCGATCAATGAGGGTTCTAACTAAGAATTGGTTGATGATAATGTGCAAATGTTGTAGAGGTGGATAGCATATGATGCTTGAAACTTGAAAGCTTAATTTGGAAGTGAATTCCTGTATTCTCTGTTACAACTGGAGTTCTTTAACCACAATTTGTAATAAACATCCATGATCCGAAGATACTGTAGTGTTGATGCTTGAAATTAGTCAGCGTCAAGACTATTAACATAACATGGAACTCTTAAGGACAGAGACATGAAGAAAACAATTGTTTGTGTCCAATTTGCTCAATGATCTTCCTTCTTTTTCACTGATTTCTTGCACCAATCTACCATGAGAATTGGGTATAAGCTTAGATTTTATAATTATTTATTTGTTTCATGAAATCAAGAGATGTTAATAGAAAATCTCTGCCACTTCGATTGTTGGATGGTAAGATTATATATCTATAGAGATTTTGAGGCTCAAAAGACAAGAATACATGAAATACTCATCACTTTCTTGTGGAGATATACAAAAATCAATAATAAATCGACCAAAAATATAGAGATGAAATAAGGGGATTTTGCTTTGCAGAAAACATTTCTGCCAGACATATCGTACAAGGTAACAAACTTCGACATGGTGAACAAATGTCGGGGTGTTATCTGCCATGTTAAACATCCCAGAAAAACGACAAATTTGAAAGAGATATCATGCAGGAATGACAGATGGAACAATAGTATAGTTCCTGATATCATGTTAAGCATTAATTTAATAAGTATTAATAACAAATAGAAAGATCAAACTTGAATATAAGATCATAAAATTTAACAGATGTAAAATAACATTACGTCGTATCTAAAGAAAACGTCGGGTTGGCCAGCGACCATCACCATTCGCTTGCTCTATAACAACTAGCTTTATCTCACAGTACCCTGGCCTTGAACAGGAACCCATCCTTGCTTTCCAGAAATCATCGGAATTATTGCTCATTTCCATGGCAGTTCTTCTCTCCATTTCATGCCTTTCAGCTCTCCTCCAAAGATTGTCTCTTTATCAGAGAACGGAGTTTTCGTTCACTATCAACCTTCTGCTACTACTTATTGGCACTGGCATCGACTCTAAACCCATCAACTTGGCTACCACCCCTGGTTTGCACCAAATCACCCTGTCCCCACCCACAGTAGATGGCAAACGTAAACGTTTCCCTGATCTCGATTCCAACCCAAGATTGCAATATCTTTCTGATCTCAATCCAAGTTCAGAGTTTGTAAAGGATGATCGATACATGGCATCTTTTCCATCGAGAGAAAAGCGAGGGTACTGATTCAACGCATTCCTGGCAGATCGCAGGATATCAGAATTGTTAACACACGACATCCTGCCACCTCGAATCTCACTATATTCATGGAGCTTTGCTCTAGCATGCTCTTCTTCAAACTCCAACCTTAATATCATCTCCTCCAATGTTGCTTTTCTAGCAGTGCCACCAGGGTCAGCCTGGCGTCGGTTAAGAGTAGAGGTCGAGCCATCACCATTGTAAAAATTTCTGATTCGTTTCTTCATCTTGGCCCCAACCAAGTTCTTCAAGAGAAAGGAGAGATCTTTCATGGGTTGGATGAACTGTGCATGGAAGAAGAGAACCAAAAATGGAGTTAGGAGGTTCAATTCAATTCAAGTTTTAGCATCAAAAAGAAAGAAAGAGCGCATTAATTTGGTAGATAAAACGTGAGTGGAGTAAATTTGGAGCAGTAAATAGCTTTAAAAGAGATCAAATGACAATAATGAGAATACATTTTTCACAGGTTTCTTCTTTACTTCTCCATCTTTTCAGCAAAGCTAGAGCTATTCTCCATGAATCAATCGCTGCAATCTTTTTCAGGCTTTGAATCATTTTCACTTGGATTGGTGGGGGTACATTATACAACTTGTTAAGAAAAAGCCCCTAAACTTATTAACGGAGATACAGCTTAGCATTATCAAAACTTCAAGGTAATAATACAAAAATATGTACATATCTTAAAAGGCCAGGTTGGATAAAAATAATCTATGCCAGCACAAGGGGAAAAATGGGATAAATAAGGGAAAATAAAAATAAAATAGGAGGAAAAAAAATGATGCTGTTCTTCTCTGCAGAGTTTTAAGAAGCTAAAGTCCTAAACTACTATTCAAACGTTGTTTCCATAGTCCACCAAGGTACCCACCTCCGCCCCTGTTTCTAGGTCCAACAGGCCAAGATAGGCTGCATCACCGGACTTTCTATTGCCCCATGCTGAAGCTTGAGTGGATTATCCCATTATAACCACCAAACCCTGGACACACAGCAAGAAATTTAACATAGGACCCCCAGCATCCATATCAGAATTATTTTGCTAGAGTAGATTGGACAGATGTAAATCCGTTTCCTAGATACTTAAAATGTAATGCTCTCCATTGTTGTGCTATTGGGCAGCTTTCTAAAGAGAGCAAATTTCAAGCTGATACCAATGGGACTTAATGAGTTTTTATCACATGTTGCCCATCGATGCAAAGATATCGCACACACATTAGTCTACAGATCTTTTACCCCCTTCTTCCATATCACCCTGAATTCATACATGAGATGAATACCAAGGTTAAATGGTTCCCCTGAGACGGGAAAGTAATTTTCGTCTGTCAAAACAAAGAAGTTACTGAATTACCAACAGCCTTATGATCTGTTAGTAAAATCCCGAATTTTTAATTTTAATGACCAGGATTCAAATTCTGACAACTTTAAATATATAAAAAAATTATTAAATTCTAGTAAGATTGTGCAGGTCATTCATATGCTTAACTTTTTATAAAGTATAAACCATATTCATATCCAAATCCTTACCCCATGGTCTCATGGTGTTCATGTAGAATGTTGCATAAAAAAGATAAACTCAAGGCTTTTCTAGCAAGTGACCCTCAAGGATTCCAGAGTATTACATGCTTGATAAAAATTTGCTTTGATTGGTTGAGTCTCAAGCACCAGATGGGCTTTTTAAACAATAACTCTTGAAAAACTGACGAAATTTGGTCACTAGAAATCAAAAGACAAGCCATGATTCATAGCAAAGAGTGCACAGTAATCTTCTTATAGCTTAATCTGCAGTAATATCATCAATTTATAGTTTCACAAGCCATATGCAGCATAAATGAAGTTGCTTCAAACTATCAAATTAAGCAGAAGACAGGCACCCAGAAATTGAGCCAATGCTCAAATTGAACAAGTGATGACAGGAAAGAGAGAAAAAAAAAGGAAGTTTTGGTATCATCAGTAAGATCATGAGTCATGACTGAGCATCATCAAGTTACCCATGTCCCAAGCACTTGACAAAGCTCAACTCATTGACACAAATAGAAAAATTTAAATGCTTTATCACATGTGATTCAGACCAAATCACCAGCTAATCACAGGTAAATGCTTCTCATGGATGCTAAAAACACAGGGTTCAATCTTACTATCTAAAATGTCTATCAGTTAATTATACTTTCTAATAGCATGCATCTATGAAACCTCAAAAGCCTAAACCACCCAGCATGGACTTGGATGTTGTCTCTGCTTTCATACCCAAAATAAGATGCAAATATCAACTAGTCATTCTACAAGTTATACATTACCAAGAACAAAAAGAGAAAAGAGCATGCATATTCTGAAATCCGATCACAGTTTCCTTTGGGAAAACACCAACGGTCTGTATTTATTCTTAAAGACATTGGATAGCATAGAGTCATATAATCATGAAGAAAATATAGTTTAAGATTAAAAATAATGAATGAAGAGATTATCGTGGGCACAGAAAAGAAAAAGGCATGATTTTTTTGATTGGTTAAGGTGTCAATAAGGACTAATATTGCACAGGTGATTCTATCTTAATTGGGTTAGTGTCTATTTTGAAGACAGCAATGCATGAAACTTGCCTGAGTCATTAACCCAACAGGTGCAGTCAGCAGAACTTGAAATATGTCATTTGTCTTTATTCAGAAGCCAGGCATTCTAATTAATTATACCTTAACTGAGATTCTATATTATCCAAGACCACTACCTATGCTCTCTACCAATTTATTAACACATTCAACAAAAACCATCTCCATCCTACATGCAGATTCAATAGGCATCGGTCCTTGTTGAACAGCCAAATGCAAGCAAAATTGAATTGAATTGATTTTTGTCCCAAGATTTTGCTCTTTCCAAATGAACTTCTAAACATTCTTATCTTAGCAACCCGCATTTCATCCAAAAATTGTTTATTTGACAACAGCATATCAGTCTCATAAAGAAAATACGTATATCAAAGTGGAAGAGATCTGTGAAAGAAAGGTCATCAACTCCAGCCTATCATACATGGAAAATATCAGAAAACAACAAATATATGAGAATGATCCTGCCTGATATAAACTTTTTCATCTATGCTCAACCCTAGTCACTTACGGAATAAAGAAGAAATCTACTGCCCATAAATCACTTCTGGTAAATGATTATCCTATGACTTTTAGCATCTTAACTCATACTCAACTATAATATCACTTCATCCATATGTGAGACCGGTTTCATTCTTATGGTAAACACATAAACAAATTTAGACAAATAATCAAGTTCTTGGAACTCAAAGTTTAACTCAGTTGGTTCATACAGCCACCTTAAGAGGTGGCATCCAGCACGTCTAGGTTCAAATCTAGTACCTGTAATCTCTTCCACTATTCCCAGACAGCAGGCAAGTTGTTGTTACTTTTATGAGTTAATCCATTCCATTATAAAACTATGGCTTATTGTCAATAGATAAGAAAATTCTCAACATTCCATTCAAGTCCTGAAATCAAGTTTTGACAAAAAACAAAAAAATCTGAAAATTTAATCCCATATAATCTAATTCCGAAATCTTTGAATATAAAAAACAGAGGAAATAATACAACTTCCCCATGAAATTCTCGCCAAAGAAAAGCCTACGTCTTTCTCCTGAGACGCTTCCTGAGCTTCTTGTATTTGTGCTTGTTCATCTTCTTCTTCCTCTTCTTCTTCACACTATCTGCCCAAACTTTCCCACCATCAGCATCCCCAGCTTCTGCTGCCTCCTCCACGACCTCCAAGGCTTCTAATGGATCAAAACCAGATGAGCTAATGGGATTCAACAAATACCCAAATGGGAAATTGGGGTATAACTTCAAGGGTTCAGTAGATTTGCTTTTTTCCAGGGCTTTGGAATTGAGGAAACAATATGCGTTGGTTAATGAAAAATGGTGGGTTTGTTGGGGAATAAGAGAAGGACTAATTTTTGGGAGCTGTTGTTGATGTTGATGTTGTGGGCTTTTGAAAGATACGATGAATCTTTGAGTGGATTTGTTCTTGAAGAGTTTGCGCACGAGATTTGCCATTCTGGCATAGAAGAAAAGTAAAAAAAAAAAAAAAAAAAAAACTTAATCTCAAAACTCAAAAAGTTACAGAAGCGGGGATTTCGGTACTGGTTTTTGGCTTCTTGAGGTCTGGTTGGAAGCAGTCGTTAGGGGTTTAAGTATGAAGGGGCGCTTGAGTAAGCGTTCTAAGTTCCAACTTCAGAGGTTTAACACCCGTGCAAGAGGGAAACTGTTTTCGAAACTGCGTCGTTTAGAGTTCCAAGTTCCAACTTCCGAGGATTAATACCCGTGCAAGAGAGAAACTGTTTTCGAAACTGCGTCGTTTAGTCCTATAAAAGGATGATCCAACCAAAAAGCGAAACTTAAGGATGCCCCCACGCAGGATCGAACTACGGACCTTCAGTTTACAAGACTGACGCTCTACCACTGAGCTATAGGGGCCTTTGGTTTCTTGTTCATACTATAAATATAACTAGAATAATTATTTGATGAGGTTTTTTACAGTCACTGTTGGCATATGGTTCTCTTTTGGGGTTGGCTTTCAGCTTATAGGAAATTTGTATATAGAAAATAGAAGGGTTATCCAATAGTCTTATGACGTGTTGAATGTAACATCTAAATTTTAAAAAAATTTTAATTTAATATTTAAATTATAAATTAATATTAATATAATATTTATTTTTAATGTAGTTAATTTCAAATAATAATATATAATAGATAAATAATTTTTACAATATCATATTAATTAATAAATTTATAATTCAAATATTAAAATTTAAATATTATATTATATTTAAAAGCATCCGTAACATTATCTTAAAATATAAAAATATAAATGCCTTGATAGTTCTAACAATAAGCCCGATAGATGTCATCATTGTTGGGCCAAGACAGAATAGGCCCCAAAGAATAGCAGATGAGGCCCAACAAAAAAGAAAGATGAGTCATTTCCCCTTAAACACCACCGAGCAAGCAAAGCTCGAGTACTAATGACGTAAGTAGGGGTGAGGAAAATTTTTAAAAAAATTAAAAATTAATTAAAAATTATTATATTTGATTTAATTTAGATTGATTGATTTGAATTAAATTTAGTTATTAAATGTATATATTAAATTTGAATACAAATGTAAAAAATTAAAAAAAATTAAATTAAATTATATTTTTTATTAATATATATTTTAAATTTTTATAAAATTAAAATAATATTATATAAAAATAAATTTAAATATATTAAAAATTTATTAATATAATATAAAAATAAAAAATAAAATTAATTAATTAAATCGAATCATTCAAATTAAATTCATTTTAAAAAAATTATTCGAATTTAAATTAAATTTTAAAAAAATTATAATGGTATATATTATTAAAAAAATTAAATTAAATCTGATTTAACCTATCTACAATATACGAATGGAAAGTGAGAGAATGGGCCAGAAACTAAAAAAAGGAAACAACAAAAAAACAAAAGAATAAAAAAAAGGAAAAAGAAAAAGATGGAAAAATGATGAATCTATCCACAGTAATTGCGTATGGATGCCGCTATTGTGCGCCACAATTAAAGCAACTTTTAAACTACACCACCTTCCTTTGTCTTCCTCACCATCTCCATCTTCAACGACGCTCTCCTTCTTTTACATTCTATTCTTCCTTTAACAATCTTAAGCTCCCTAACTTCAATCTTCTTCTCACGGGTAACTCTCTCTTCTTCAGGATGGAGGTACCCTGCTCTTTCCCTCTCTCTCTCTCTCTCTCTCTCTCTCTCAGGCTTGGCTTTTACGCTTAGTAACAGTTTCTTCATTTTTGCTTTCTGGGTCTTTTTTTTTCTTGCGATGATGCGGAATTGGGGTTTTTCTTTTTTATGTTTGTTTCTTTGCTTGATCTTTGGTTTTGGGTTTTGCTGAAATGATGGATTTGTTGAGTTTTTGGTAATGTTTAAAGGTTTTTAGAAAATTATCAATGAATTGTAAAGAAAACCTTGTTAGAGAGCCTAAAAAACTATGCTTATATTGTGTGTTTAGAAATGAAAGGCCAATTCTTGTGGGATCTTGTTTTTTTTCTTTTTTTTTTTTTTTTTGATGTATTTTGGACGTTTCATAGTCTGAGGATTGCAACAACAACACATTATACACTTTGATGGTTGTTGTGGCGATCTTGCCTGAAGGTGGTGATTTCAAATTCTGGATGTAATATTGGTGCAAAAAGCATCACTTGAGGTAGTTCCTGGTGCAGGGCCTTGTCCGTGGACCTTGGACCCACGAACTCAGCCTGTGGCTGCCCCTGATATGGAGGCCATCTGAGTTGGGGTGATGTCTACTTCAATGATTTCTTGTTCAACATCTCTGTCAGAGTTTGCTTTGTTTTTTTTTTTTTTTTTTTTTGTAACTTGCCTTGAGAAGAGCAGTATTTATGGTCATAGTTGTTTTGATACAGTGGTAATAATGTAGGTGCAGTTGTTCATTGTAGAGTTCAGTGGTTTTATTTCATTATTTATGTTTCTTTCTAGTGAGGCGGTTTTCTCTTGTTAATTTGAGAGACCATTTTGTTGTTTTGTTTTGTTAAATTCAATAGGAATTTTCTGCTAAACTTTTATCTTGATAATTTGTAGCGCTTCCGGACTGGAAGTGGGATCAATAAGAACAAGCAAATGGTGGAGCATTTGCAGCGTTATGGAGTGATTTCATCCAAGAAGGTTGCTGAAGTAATGGAGACTATTGATAGGGCATTATTTGTACCAGATGGGACCCTGGCTTATGTTGATAGTCCCATGGCAATAGGTTACAATGCCACCATTTCTGCACCTCATATGCATGCTATGTGCCTTCAATTATTGGAGGAAAATTTGCAGCCTGGCATGCACGCTTTAGATGTTGGCTCAGGTCTCTTTGCACTCCACAACTTTTCCACTCCATAATGTCTTTCCTGCGCTTCTTCAGTTTCTTTCTTATGTATAACTCTGCTGGAATGCTGGAATATCAAATGTGTTACACTTATTCTCTTGAGGTTAATTTCACTTTGTCAATGGTCAATGAGAAAGAGTCAGTTGATGGCTCAATCCTGCATTTAGGAAGAGTTTTAGGAAAACTTTCAGTAATCCATTCTCAAGTGGTTATGACTTCATGGCAAAACAGAGGGGCAGTCCTTATTCTTTCTTTATTTACTTTTTGGTTGAGTGGGGAGTTGGGGTTGATGGAAGAAAATGGAAGGACTTATAAATTTTCAAGTCTAAGTTTTTTGGATCATTATCTTAGTCCATTTGGGATAACTTGGTCAATGCAGTCTAATATCAACTAGATTTTTATTTTTATTTTTATTTTTTTGTGGACAGCGTATTTAAATTTGTTATGCATTTGTTCTGTAGGAACTGGTTACTTGACTGCTTGCTTTGCAATAATGGTTGGACCACGGGGTCGTGCTATTGGTGTGGAACATATTCCTGAATTGGTTGCTTCTTCCATAAAAAATATTGAAAAAAGTGCTGCAGCTCCATTATTGAAAGAAGGTTCCCTTTCAGTGCATGCCGGCGGTATGTGCTCATCAGGAACTTGCTATACATGTACAGTTTGACATATAATGTGCTCTAACGTTTAATGGAGAATTAGGCAACCATAAACCAAATTCTCGGTTAAAATATCTCTTAGTGGCAGATTTAGAATTTTTTTTCGACGAATTTATCAACAGAAAAGAGTGTTCAGTGAAAAATTTTGGAAGTGTTCAGAGGAAAATTTTCTTTCAAATTTTTTTTTCCTGCTTCCATTAAGGTCTGCCCCTAATACCTCCAAATGATAAAAAACAAGTTTATGTTGAATGCCTATGACTGACGCCCCTAATACCTCCAATTTATCAAAATCTATTTGAGACACACTGTTATGTTGAATTCTTATGACTGATGCTTTAATTATGTACATTATCATAGATGGAAGACAAGGTTGGCCAGATTGTGCACCCTGTGATGCTATACATGTTGGGGCAGCAGCAGCGGAAATACCTCAGCCCCTGCTTGATCAATTGAAGCCAGGTGGTAGAATGGTGATTCCTGTAGGAGATATATTCCAAGATTTGAAAGTGGTGGACAAAAATTTGGATGGTTCAATTAGCATTCGAAATGAAACTTCTGTCCGGTATGTTCCCCTGACCAGTCGTGATGCTCAGCTGAGGGGTTATTGAGTTTGGGAACGTCTCTCTTGGTTCAAAGGGTTGGCTTTTCTTGTAAATATTTCATTTTCCAGACTTAATTCTCTGTAGAGATGGTTCTCTTTTTCTATGTTTGGACTTGAAAGGAATGAAACATTCAAAGCAGGTTACTTTAAATAATGGCTTCCAAGCTCTGGATGAAAATATTCGATGCAAGTATTGTGCAAAGATTCAAAACCATAAATTTAATCTTAAGGGAAAAAAGAAAAAATAAAAAAGGAAAAGCCAAGAGAAGCAGATCATGTATCTAAATCATCTCAGATCAAAAGGAGCCTCGCCTTGGCCTTTCCTCTGCAACACTTACTCTTATTGCTCTTCCATCCAGATTCTGCAATGATAGAAGACACACGTAAGATGTTTATAAAAGGGAAACCCGGATGGAAGATATGTGTCTTTAACGTATTGTTATAGCCAAAAGAGACATGGATATAATTACAGTACAGCTTCTAGCTGTATGGATAATTATGTTCAACATAAAAGCAAAGAATGCTGAGAAAACACACTTATAATACCTGTCCATCGAGAGCAGCAATGGCATCATTCAATTCAGTCTCTGAGGACATAGTCACAAAGCCAAAACCACGTGAACGGCCGGTCTCCCTATCAGAGACTACACGAGCATCTACTACTTTACCATGTTCACTGAAGACCTGCTCCAGTCGACCATTGTCCACATCCCATGGAAGGTTACCCACATAGATCTTGAAAGATGGTTCATAAACACGACCGGGTCTGTCGAAACGTGATCCTCTAGGAGCAGCCTTATTAACAGTCAAGAGCCTTCCGTTAAGATCCTGTTTGAAACACAGATGCAACAATGACTAAGTACAAGCACCAAATACAAGTTCAGAGCACATTAATGCATAGATAAAAGAAAATTGGAGAACACTTGGAAACAATATGTACCAAAAATCTCATGAAACAATCTCCTATGACATAAAAGGAGGGTGAAGAGCAGTCCCACACGTTACAAATAGATTAAGTTGTTCCAGTAAAAAAAAAAGGGCAAATCAAAGTTTTTTAGTCAAAGCACACCTTGGATATCATAGAAAAAAGTATGTAATAAAAACATAAGAACTATGCATGCAAGAGATGAACAAAGTTGCTGTAGCATTTATCTTATTTGCGTATTGATAGCTAAAAGGTAAGTTAATGAAAGTTGTAACTGAAAATCAATTTCTTTTTCTCTAAGTGCTACCTCAAGCAAGAAAACATAGTCAGATTCAGGATATTCTTCAATTAAACGCAAAATACCAGCTATAGAAAAGGGTTCGTGGCGGCTAACTTGAAACAGTGAGAATTATGGTATACAATCAACAGATATCTCTCAGAAAAGTAAGATAAAAAAAATGAATAACTTTGTAGCTTTTCTACTTGATGTCAAAATGTAGAATCAAATGCATGCTGACTAGAGCAATTGAAAGGTTAGAATGTCCACATTGATATCTTATATAGAAACTAACTGTGAAAATGCATGCCTTCACTTTGTATCCATCTTCCTAAAGAGACAGTCCATAAGCCCTGTCTCTAGTAATTGAACATAGGGTCTCACAGCCATTCCTATTATGCAACTGTTCTATTCTTACCACCTATCATAGATTTGATCAAGTTTAATGACTAATCAACCTGACATCAAACGATTATCACAACAACAAAAAGTTCAAGAAATCAGATAGCCCGGCTGAAATTATCAATGATTAGCAAACCAACGAAAGTTGATCATATAGAGTGAAAATAAAAGTTAATGCAAGTCAAAAGAATAGATGAAAATGAAGCAATCCGCCCTTAGACTTGTGGTTTGTGCTTACTTCCACAGAGCATTCCTCTACAACAGCAACAACAAACTAACCTTATATCATATAACTTTAGGATCCGCTGTATGAAAGGCCAAAAAAGGAATCATGTTAGGTTGTAGTTTTGAATCTTTTTGCACCACTCACTTCTATCAACAACAACCTTTTCATCTACTTTCTTAACCCTCATATCATTGCCTATTACTTGCATCTCTAGTCTTTCATGATCTACCTTTAGAAGTTTTGGCCACATAGTATTCCTCTAGAATAGGTAAAACATTAAAAGCATATGCCACCCACCATACCTATTTTAATAGTCAATTTAACCAAACCAAGCAATATGAATCAACTATTGATGATAACAGAGGGAGAGAATGGCTTCCAGGATGAATAAGAGAGCTTCCTCCATATAAATATCTTTCTTCATAGTGCCATGACAGATACATAAAACATTATCTATCATACTTGCATATACCAATTTCCTCATTTTCTATCACAGATAATAGTCAAGATATGGCAAAATCTAAGCAAAACAAGTAAAAGAATAAACTTACATAACTGTTAAATAGTTCAGCAGCCTTCTCAGCTTCCACAATGGAACTCATAGTTACGAACCCAAAGCCACGACTTTGCTCACTTTCCCTATTGTAAATAACCTGCAACCTCAAAAATAAACAAATTTTCAACAGTTTTATGACCCAGAAATCAACCCAAAAAAAAATTCAAACAGTTTAAAAGCAGAAAACTTGTCTTAACCTCAGCAATTTCCACAGTTCCAGCTTTCTCAAAGATCATAGCCAAACTTTGACTATCAACATCATAAGGCAAATTCCCAACAAACAATTTAGCTTCCTCAGGAGGTTCAGGAACAGAGTCCACTTCTTCTGAATCACCACCCTGCCCTTCAAAAAGTGAATCCTCACCTTCAGGTTCCCAAGTAGACAAACTTGCTTCAGCTTCATCACTTTCTTCATTTTCCCATGTTGATTCTCCTTCTTCATTTTCCCATGTTGATTCTCCTTCTTCACCTTCAGATTCCCAATCGGACAACCTTGCTTCAGCCCCATCACTTTCTTCGTTTTCCCCTGTTGATTCTCCTTCTTCACTTTCAGTTTCTTCTTCGACTTGCTGCTTTTGTCCATCAATGGTTATGGTGGTGTCATTTTCTTCCTCTTGTTGGGCCCAATCCGAAGTCTGGGCTACAAAGGCAACTAGAGAAGGGAAATGGGTTTTTGTTTTGAGCGTTAAACGGGTTGGAGAAAGGGAGGATGAGAGGAAAAGCTTGATGGGTTTTGCAGGGAGTGAGAGGAGAGATGGTGATTTGGAAGAAGCGTTGAAGAGGGAAGGAAGAGAGACAAAGCAAGATGAGTCTACCAGGGATATGGGTTTGGTTACAGTAGACATTTTTGTTGAAGAATTGAGAAGGCGATACAGAGAAAAGAGAGGGTTTAAGAAGAGGCTATGAAAGGATAAGAGGGCAACAGACAGGAGAGCAGAGAGGGTTTATCGAAAAAAAGTTACAAATATCCTATTCCCTGTAAAATGGCAAATGGGGAACTTGCTCAAACGGGCAATATGGCCCTCACAGTTTTGGGCTTCTTGGATGATTTATGGGCTTTGGACGTTTTATTTTTAAAGTTGTCTTTTTCTCATAATGTCATGTCCCAAATGCCAATCGGATCAGCTCCTGCTAAAGCCTAAGAAGGATGACAGTCACCATTGTTTAAAAAAAAAATCATCTTTCAAAAGTTTCTAACATGTTTGTCAAGCTTACATTACGTCTGGTCCGAGAACGGCCCAAGCACCAGATCCACGGCGTGACACCGAGGCTCACGCATCAGGTCATGGGAATGAACCCCAGGATGTACAACCAGGTGATTAGGGTAAGGGTTTGGATTAAAGTTGCCACTTAAGGCCACACGTTGTTAGACTTAAGTTCGTGACACTTGTATGATCTTAATACTGCTTTTATAATATGATTTCATTAATGCGTGTTTCTAAAATTCAATCTCAATTGAAGCATTGTGCCATTCACTATGAAAGTGTTTATTTTGGTCTACAAACCAATGCTAGACTTCATTGGAACCGACCCAAATTTCCTTTGAATAATAGATTTGTCATGGCCCCGAAGAGAACGAGCAAAGACAATATTTTGTTTTTCAGCAAATCAAAAGATTTTTTTATTTTGATAAATGAAGACATAGTATGAGAAAAGATCAAGCATGGATGAATCGAATCCATTGAGATAAGCTGGGGATGCCTCCGTTCACAACAGTAAGCAAATAGTAACCAGGGGGTGCCACGTTTGGACATGGAGGAGCCTCCAAAACTGCAGTCATCCAACCACCTGCATCCCTCACCGTGTTCTTGGACCTCAGTTTCAGCAGTCTTTGATTCATTGAAATGGAATGCGTCGTGAATGGCGGTGCATAGACGCTATATTCCACTTCCATGATTGGCCTTCTTTCCAGCCTGAACTGAACAATGAACTCTTCTCCATATGCAATGCGATATGGATTGCTACTGTACTCTATTGACACATTAACTGGCCTCAAGTGATGGTATTGCCGATCCATATAGTGAGGGATAAATGCTTGTAACCTTAGCTCGGTTGGGTAGGACACGTTTCTGAAAGTGTACCTGTTATTAGGATTGCCACCAGCAACCAAGACTCCCCCATTAGGTAAAAGAAGAGCTGATGAGTGATACATTCTCGCAATCTTGGTTGATTTCAGGACTGAAAATCTTCTGCCTAGAGTTTTCTTTGGATTGTAGAGGTAAGGCTGGAGAGAAGGAGATACTGCGTTTTTCCATCCGGCACAACCACGTTTGGCACCATTGATGATCAGTATACGGCCTGTTGGGAGGACCAACATGTCATGCATGATTCGGGGTCCCGGCATGTTTTCCATCTTCCACATGTGTCTGTACCCTGAGATGACCATTCTACCGCAGGAGGTCAGTGCCTTGAGGAATGTTCCTCTTGCTGCTGCTTCGTAAGCTCCAGAGGCTCCACCTCCGCACACCATGACCACTTTTTGGAACCTGTCTTTTTGGTCCAACGGGAGAATTACTGATGACCCTGAGCTTGGGTAGTTTCTTGAACCACCTCCTGGAATCCGGGGAAACGTCTTGATCACCTTGTTTCGTCTATAATTGAAAAGGATCGAGTCACGGTTGGCAAAAATGAATAAGTTACCATCTGAAGAAAGGTGGAGGAAAGGATAGAGGTTGTTTCCCCTAGCATTCGGGTCATTAGTGTTGCGCCTGAAGCAATAATCACAATAATACAGAAGCAATAGACAACAATCAATAATCAAATACGCAGGAAAAATAAAGCACACCAAGATTTACGTGGAAAACCCTTCAGTGTAGAGGGAAAAAACCACGGGCCACCAGAAAAATCTTCACTATCAAATAATAGTTATACAAAGTTCTTCTCTAACTAAAACTAGAGCTAATCAACAACTAGAGAAATAATTGGAGAAATCTCACCAAATAAGTGACTCAACAAATACACCCTGAATTTGTTCCTAGAGAGCTTCAAACCCGATCTTCACCGTTCAGAATGTAGAACTCTGAATCATAAACCTCCTGACAAGGTTCTAACTCAATCAAACCACGGATCGACTTCCGTTTAACCAACTCTCCCTTCTCTTTTTTCTCTCTCTATTTTTCCTGACTTTTCTTCTTTTCTCTGCTTGGTTTTCGACACACACATAAAACAATCCCACCTCTTTTTTATTAAGTAGCTAGGGTTCTGTGTAAAATAAAAGATCAAGGCCCATGGCCTTTACTTGGTCTAAAACCACTTACATGGGACTGGACCCCATTTTCCTAACAATCTCCCCCTCCAGTCCCATTAGGAGGAGATTCATCACCATAGCAATTTCATTTGAAACTTACTTTGGCCAAGGAACTCATTCCGGCCAAGTTACTGCAAAGCTCAAGCTTTTCCCTGGGAAGTTTAACAAGATCATAAGTACCATTCTTTCGCAATGACTCCATCTCTTCTTTCATTGCTTTTAACCAGTGTTCTCTATCCGGAGTAGCCTGCACATCTTGGAAGCTTTCTGGCTCCCCTTCATTGGTAACTAAAATAAAATCTGAACTTAAATACTTGATAGATGGCCTGCGCTTTCTAGTAGATCTCATGGGCTGAGACTCTACATCACTTGATGCCGAAGGTAGCTCCCCCTGCTCAACACTCTCAGGTAGAGAGGATTGCTCCCCTGCTCAAAACTAATAGCATCTGGCTCATCACCAACTGCAGCTGGCTCATTCATATCCCCAAGTTCTATTTCTTGCTCATTTTCACCATCTGTGGCTCTTTCCTGTGAAATCCCTGTCGGTGTTGAAACATCACACTCAACAGTAACCTGTATAGTCTTCTAATTTTTCTCAAAGTTTGCTATAGTTTTTTTTTCATGAAAGACCACATCTCTGCTTCTGACTGTCTTTCTCTTTACTAGATCCCATACCCTGTAGCCAAATTCCTCATCACCATATCTTACAAACACACACTGTGTAGCTTTACTGTCAAGCTTTGATCTTTGCTCTTTCGACACATGCATGAATGCTTTACACCTAAAAACTTTCAAGTGAGAGTATGGAGTATCTTTCTCTGTCCACACTCTTTTTGGAATGTCAAAGCCCAAAGGAACTGATGGTGACCTGTTAAGTAAATAACAAGCTGTGTTGACTGCTTCACCCCAGAATGGCTTTGGTAATTTGACATCCTCAACATACATCTGACTTTTTTCACAGTGGTACGATTCATTCTTTCAGCTATACCATTATGCTGCGATGTTTCAGGTTTTGTCCTCTCATGCCTGATCTCATGCTTTGAGCAATACTTTTCAAAGTCTTTAGATGTGTATTCCCCACCATTATCAGTTCGAATACACTTCAAGGGTAACCCTGTCATCCTCTCAACCATGGTATAAAATTTTTGAAAATACTGCAGTACCTGACTTTTGTATTTCAACATATACACCCAAGTCTTACATGAAGCATCATCAATAAAAGTAACAAAATATCTGCTACCACCTAATGACTCAACCTCAATGGGATCACATACGTCAGAATAAATTAATTTCAATATATTTTCTTTTCTCTGAGAACTTTTATGAAAAAAAACTCTATGATGCTTACCAAACAAACAATAATCACATGAATCGAGAGACATACCTTTGGTCAAGGGAATGAGAGAGTGTCTTGCCAAAACCTGTAACCCTTTTTCACTCATGTGTGTCAGCCTCCTATGCCACAAGTTTGCTGAAGCATCATTTTCAACGGTATTTACCTGGTTACCGTTCAATTGCATCCATGTCTTATACATTGTGCAGCATAGTTTTCCCCTTGCAACTACCAAAGATCCTTTGAGAAGCTTCCATTGTCCATTTTTTATCGGCTTTCATATCCCTCCTTATCAAAGACATTAATAGCAAGCAAGTTCATTCTCATATCTGAAATGTGTCTGACATCCCTCAAAGTCAACATGCAGCCTGTACTAGTTTATACAACAATATCACCAATCCCAACAATTTACGACACACTCTTGTTTCTCATTTTGGTACAACCAAAATCTCCTACTTTGTAAGTTGTAAACAACTCTCTCTTAGGAACACAATGATATGCTGCTCCTGTGTCAACTATCCACTCAATGTCGGGATCACTAACATGATTACAATCACCATGTGTACAAATCAAAGTAACCGAATCACTATCTGAATTCACTGCTGCAACATTGCCATCGTCTGAATTCTTGCCTTTCTCATCTTTTCGCTCTTGCTTTAAGATTCTACAGTTTCGTTTTATATGACCCGTCTTACCACAATGGAAACACTTCACTTTACCTCTAGACTTGGATCTATGTTTAGACTTATCACGGCCTTTTGAGTCCTGACCTCTGTCGATGTTTCTACTTTTGTTCTCTGTGACTAGAGCTTGATTTCTAGGGTCTACATCTTTTCTCCTTGCTTTTTCATTAAGCATACTGTCCTTTACCATCTCCAATGTCACCTTATAATCAGGAGCTGAATTAAGAACAGTCACAACTAGAGTATTCCAGCTGTCTGGCAATGAACCCAAAAGAAATAACGCCTTCATTTCATCATCCATCTTAAACTCCATAATAGTCATCCGATTAAATATATCTTGAAAATCACTCAAGTGCTCTGTAACAGATTGTCCATCCCTGTACTGTAAAGTTGTAATCTTTTTAACAAGCATAACTTTATTCATACCTATTTTTCTCTCATACAATGCTGTCAATTTTTCCTAAACAATGTGAGCATTTGACTCCTGCGCTACATAATGGAACACGCTGATATCAACCCATTTTTTGATTGTAGCCAGTGTCTTTCTACCTAGCTTCTTCCAATTTTCATATTTCATATCTGCTGGTTTAGCCGAATCACCTAATACTGGCTCATACAAATCTTTACAGTATAGATGATCCTCCATCATAAGCTTCCAAATTGAATAATTCGATGCTGTCAATTTTATCATGGAACCTGTATCACCCTCCATGATCTCAAACAGAATTTACTTCTATCCTGGGTTGCTTTTGTATCGATGTCTCAAAATAACCCTCGCTCTGATACCACTTGTTGCGCCTAAAGCAATAATTACAACAATACAGAAGCAATAGACAACAATCAATAATCAAATACGCAGGAAAAATAAAGCACACCAAGATTTACGTGGAAAACCCTTCAGTGTAGAGGGAAAAAACCACGGGCCACCAGAAAAATCTTCACTATCAAATAATAGTTATACAAAGTTCTTCTCTAACTAAAACTAGAGCTAATCAACAACTAGAGAAATAATTGGAGAAATCTCACCAAATAAGTGACTCAACAAATACACCCTGAATTTGTTCCTAGAGAGCTTCAAACCCGATCTTCACCGTTCAGAATGTAGAACTCTGAATCATAAACCTCCTGACAAGGTTCTAACTCAATCAGACCATGGATCGACTTCCGTTTAACCAACTCTCCCTTCTCTTTTTTCTCTCTCTATTTTTCTTGGCTTTTCTTCTTTCTCTACTTGGTTTTCGACACACACATAAAACAATCCCACCTCTTTTTTATTAAGTAGCTAGGACTCTGTATAAAATAAAAGATCAAGGCCCATGACTTTTACTTGATCCAAAACCACTTACATGGGACTAGACCCCATTTTCCTAACAATTAGTCTCACGCAAAAATGTAAGATTAAAAGATCTGTCACTGGAGTGCAATTTGGGCACAAATTCATAACTAAAGGCATTCCTTCCATGAGTTCCACCTACAATAATAACTCTATCTTTCTCTGGAGTAACTGATTGGAAGCATACCATCTGTTTTGATTGCTTCCAATTGCATTGATGATCACTACAAGGATTGAAGTATCGTATTTTTTTAGAACCACTACCGTACCCACCAGTCTGCAGAAGTGTGCCATTGCTGAGGAACGAACCCGAGGAGCACCAGGGATCGGTATCAAGCCTTAGTGACCTCAACTTATTACCATCTACGTCGTACTCAACCGAATGAGCATAGCACGACCAATCTTCTAAATCTTCTCGGGAACGAGTGCACCTTTTCCCATTGTAGCGCCGAGGAAGCCTGTGTTGGGAGGGGCCTGCAGCAGTTTGATCAAACATAATAACAGTGTTACGATATGTTAAAGCCATGTGCATGGCCACTACCCCTGTATTTTGTTGTAGTAGTTTCCATGTCCCTTTTCTCCCACCGGAGGACACCTCAACTGCACCACTAACAACAAAAAGCTGTAAAATAACAGAAATCACAACGGAGAGCAAGTGCTTCTTGCCTTCCATACCAAAGGAAGTGAGAGATCCAATGTTGTGGCTCGAGGGGTTAATAAATTCTCTTATATAATGTGGTTTTAGGTGGAAGGTGTTGCACCGGGCAGTTGTGTGAGACAAGACGAGTTCACTAAAATTAAGATTGCCGGTCCTAAAAGTTGTGAAGCTACTCCAAGCAATCTTGAAGTGAGCAGAACAAGATATTCGTGCAAAGCATCACACATCTGATTCTGTTTGTCCATCCGGACAAATCTACGGAATACAGCACAAATACCGGCTGACAGCAAACTACGGTGAAGTTAAAGAGAGCAACAGTAGCATGCTACTTCTATCTCAGGATATCTTCGATTCCGCTTAGCAATTTGAATACATTTAAGATGATATCGTACGAAAATGATACGAATAAAAAACATAACTTAAAATTTTAAAAGAATTATAAAAATATTTAATAAAATTAAAAAATTATATTTTATATTTTTATATCGATATAAATTATAATATATAATTTTCATGTCAAATATAATACAAATACAATAATTTACATAATACAATGATATGAATTATAGATTTATCTTAAATGCTGCTTTTACATCATACTAAGCTCTCAGCAAAACCATTATTGACCAAAATAGCAAGTTTGCCGCATTAGCACAGCCATAGCACAACCATTAACGCCCAGAATACTGTAAAGTATACAGTCGAGATGCATGACTCCTCGTTAAGATCTTGACATACTCCTTACTTCAACGAGGATTTATTGTCCTTAGTGGAACATTGATAGCATTCAGAGTTGACTCTGACATCATCAAATATCAAGATCTATATCATCTTATGAAAAATTATTTGCTTCAACTCGTTGAATTTATGATTTTATCTTATAAAGATTATCTCAGAAGTTAAATATGATATGAAGAATGAACACGCATATTTTGAAACCAATTCTGATAAACAGCTAATATAAGATTCACGACTCTTTGTAAAATTATCATAGCAGTTGTTCCACAGCACCAATAAGGATTGCCAGTGAAAAGGTTTTATACAGCATAAAAAATAGTACAGTTTACAGTTGGCACGTGAAACCGATGCCAATACAAGGGTGTCCTACAGTGAGACATGCCTGCTCTCAGTCATTCTACAGCTGATTACATTACAATTATATAATCTATAGAATAGATAAATAAGTTTTTGCGGTTTGATGAAACCAACAAATATGTTAAAAACTCTGGATATATATGATGATGGATATTTGATAAATGACTTTAAAATTTTCAAAGTAAAATACTAAAATCAAAGAGTTTCTGTTTCTAAGAAACGACGTCGTTAACCGCGTGCAAGACGCCGTTTGATGGTTGGATTTTCGGATATCATCCAAGATAAACCAATCCCCGGAACGCAAGCCAGAAAAGATAGAAGCAAATGATAAAATGATCCAAATTTAGAAAAAAAACAAAAGAAAATCTGGAAACAATCACAAAGATGGCTTCTCTGACTCTTCCTTCTCTCAATGCTTCAACCATTTCGCGCATTCATAACCAGAAAACTCCTTTGAACTCTTCAATTTCAAAGATATCTACTTTCAGGCATCCACCCACTTTTACAACTCACCGTTTTGTATGTTTTTCTTCCATTGTTTCAACCTTTTAATTCAATGGGTTTTCGTTTTTCTACTTTGTTTTTGCTTTTTCCATTGATATTTTTTTTTGTGTTTTCCTGTTTTGTTGTGAATTTAGCAATGTGGGGTTGTTCGAATGCAAGCTGATGGTGAAGATTATGAGTTGAAGCAAATGAGGGATATGGCTGCTGCAAAGAAGAGATGGGATGCTATGGTATATTTTCTTTAATCCCCAATTTACTTACTTTTCCTTTCCCTTTTCTTTAATCTGATTTTTTCTTGATTTTTGTCTATCATCTTTGATAAAGCAAATGGTTTTTTTTTTTTTTTTTAATGTTGCTTATAAGAGTAATGAGGATGATTGTGATGATATTACTAAATCCAGCACTTTGAACTTTCATATGTGTGCTTGTTGCTTGAGTAGTAATTTTTTAGCTGTGTTGTGTGTACAGATTAGGGAAGGAAAAGTAAAGATTATTACACCTAGGGAGGCAGGTTATGCAATTCAACTTTCTAACAAGCCTTTACTTGATGTTCGTCCATCTAAGGAGCGCAACAAGGTTGTTAAATATACCATCTTTTTTCTAATCACTGTTTTTTATCTTCAATCTCGCAAAAATAATTGTTACAACTAGTTTCATTTGGCTCTGTTGTCTTCAGCATTGAAGCTACTCTAATTTTATAATTCATTGTATCATAGGTTATGAATATATTTTTGTGTGCCAATAGTCATGTGCTCTGATGGTAGAATGTTGGACTTTCAGTTTAGTGGTCAACACTCAATTCCTGACAATCTCAAGTATAAATATAAATGTAAATATAAATATATATTTGTCTATGGTCTCTGTTTCCTTTGAAATACCATGCTAAAGGCATTATATTGGCATATTGCTTTACTATATTGATTCTTGTGGGGAAACTGGTAACTATTTGGTGTTTAAAACAAATAATTAAATTCTTGCCCTTTTGCTTTTATCCCCTTCTTATTTATGGAATTGTATGTTGCATGGCCATTATCATTCTATTTGCGGTTGGGATAGATTAAATTTTTTCTTATTCTGTTTTGAAGGCATGGGTTAAAGGCTCCACCTGGGTACCAATCTTTGATGTTGATGATAAATTTGATGTTGGAACCCTTTCCAGAAAAGTCACCAATTTTGTGATGGGTATCACTCAATTCCTTGCTATCTTCTGACTTCCAGAGAGATCATATCAATGATTTGCCTGATGGAGAGTTACTAGATAAAACCTATGTGATCTGTTATGGGGGCTGAAATTAAATTGTCTTATGTTTTCTGTAGGGGGTTGGTGGAGTGGCGTGCCTACGTTGTCTTATGACAGGTGCATTATAAGTTACCTTTGCTTCTCTAGTTTGCGCATGTGTCAGTCTCTGTACACACATTTGCTTGTGCGTGTCCACTCTCACGTTATATATGCATGCATATAGAATATATTTTGTACTTATTCTGTTACTTTCTTTGACAGACAGTTCTTGTCAAAAGTTGAGGAAAAATTCCCAAAAGATGCAGAGCTTATCATTGCATGCCAAAAGGGATTGAGGTGAATTTTTTGTTTTAAGTGACAGAGGAGAGAGTTGGTACCTCACTATTAATTTTAGTTTCATTTTGAAATGAGTTCATTTTTCCTTCTAATTTGATCTCGGCTGAAAATGTTCTATGTGTAAAATGCTAAATCCCCTGGTCCTGGTGTAAGCAAAGATGTGCCCCAAATAGAGGATACAGCTATGATTATAACCTTTATCCTTTTTTTAAAGACTATTTTTCATTGTCAATCTTTTATTAAAAGAATGAACTTGTGACTACAAATGCTTTGGAAATTGCTAGGACTGTTCCTTGGCCCTCGGCATGTCCTAACAGTATTGACTAATTTGACTGAAAGCCTTCAGATGAATGAACAATCATTTTCATTTTCATTTTCCAATGTAATAACAATGGATCCGGAATGGGAAATGTTCTTCTGAAATAAAGCTGGAGTTATGAGTCTGCATTGTATCTGGAACAGTCCAGTTGCTGAGCATGATAAAAGAAAAAGAAAAAGAAAAGGGAGAAAAAATGGGTGGAATTTGATAAAAAATATTGTTGTTAGGCAATGTAGGTGCATGGGTCAATTTGGAAAAGTGGTAATTATATCTTACATTCTCAGTTCAGATTTTTGGTCTTTCTAGCCTGACTTATGCCGCCGTATTGTTGTTTTTCAGACTCAAAGTTCATGTCCTCAGATTTATTTAAAGATTCACTATTTTGGTTTGGTTGGGGTGGGAAAGTGCCATCACCATGACTGAAAGTGAAAATATATATCTTGAGTGCTCTTTAGGTACTAAATATGGCGTCAATTCTTTTACTTCACTAAATGACACTTTTCTGGCAGATCCCTAGCTGCATGCGAGCTACTGTGTAATGCTGGCTACAGCAATCTTTTCTGGATTCAAGGGGGTCTAGAAGCTGCTGAAGAAGAGGTAATGCCGGATAGAATTTCCATTTAGCCCTTATATTTCCCTCTTTCTTGCTGACTCTAATTACTTTACGTTTGATTCTAAATGAAGAAATTTAATTAATTTGGCGAATCTCAATTGGTTTTCTTTAGGATCTTGCCAGGGAAGGTACTCAGCCTTTGAGGTTTGCAGGAATTGGTGGGCTTTCGGAGTTTCTTGGGTATATACCTCTCTCATCTCTTTGTTTGTTTGACATGCTCCTTGCAAACTATCGACATAACTGTTTTTTTTACAAAATGAATATGAGATATTAGCCTGCCAGGAAGCAGCCCTCTAATATATAATTTATCTCAACAAGGGCTTAGTTCCAAAACTCGATTTGGGAATGTTAAAACCATTTTATCACAGTTCAATATGTGTAATTATAACTTATTCAAGTATCTGTCTTCTCATTAGAGACTTTTCTACTCGAACATTTCTTCAGCTTGTAGTTGGTGCGTAAGAATTTTGCATTTTAATATTAAAATTTTGAGATCATGTAACTTATATTTGATTGTGTCACACTGCACAGCTTGTTTCTAATTCCCCTTAAATTTTCAGTTGGACAGACCAACAGAGAGCTCAAGCTGCCAGAGAAGGTTGGGGTTACCGGTTACAATACTCTGCTCGCCTGGTAATTATTCACTTCATCACTCCATTAAAATGAGCTCAAGTGTAGCTACATGATAAGATAATCCTGTATTGCTTCTGTTTCAGATTGGAGTTTTTGTGATTGCTGATGCCTTGTTTATTGGCGCACAGCAAGTCGGCCGTTACCTTCAGGATATAAGGTCTCACTGAGATTATGTGATTATGCTTGAAGGAACTTGATTAAAAGTTAGAACATCTGAAAGATTACAGTTGAGTTCTTGATCTGTGATTGCCAATTTTGAAAGCCATTGTAGTTGGCAGAGTTCATGTAGTTGCCTGTTCCTTGGGTTTGAATCCTTGCATCTCATATGTTCTCAATCACATGGCATCAGATATTTTCTGTTGTTTGTGCTGTTAGAGAATTAAATGTATAGTGATTGAGTTTTGCTCATATGAGTTGAGTTAAACAAACAATTATTCTTTTTGGGGCCACAAACAATCGTATTTTTCTCTGAGTCTTGCCCTATATTTGTGAAAATTAAACCCAACAATGAAAATATGACACGATAATATAAAATGAATATAATACGAAATATATCATGAAACTATAGTTTAAAATTTTAATAATAATTATATATGAATTTAATAAAATAAAAGAATATATTTTTCATATTTTTATGTTAATATGAATTTTGATTTGTAATTTTTAATAAAAAATAAAATAAATATATAAATTTTAATATTTTATATTATATAAATATATGAATAATTAAATTTAATAAAAATAAAAATGTATTATCATTTATGATTCAATTCATTTTAAGTTTTAAGCATCCGTCAGATTTAAATTAAATTTGAATAATAATCATATAAGAGTTTCGTGTGTTTGATTTGTTTTGTATTTGGATTAAGTCATTAGATTAATTTTAAATTTTATATAAGATTAATTAAATAAATTAAATAATAAAAAATATAATTATTTAACAAAAATCTCTTACAATACAAAATTTTTAAAAGTTATAAGTAATCATTTTTTTTAATAGTGTTCTAGTGAAAAAATAATTACGAAAATTTACCCAAAATGTAAAAATCTAAAATTATTTTCACAAAAGAATGTATTTTAAATAATAATAAAAATTATTAAAAATATTATAATTTTAAACAATTCAAAATTTTTAATAATGCATATACATTATTAATTAATTATAAATATGTAAAAAAAAAAATCTCGAAGCGAATACCTAATTCTAGGGGAAATAAATATTATTACCAATTTAACACGATCGCACACAGATTGGCATATTCGGTCAAACCAACAGCCAGATTCCTGACACGTGTACGGTTAGATGTAATCACAACCACCTCAATTCCTTGCTTGTTAGGTTAAAAGCTCGGGTAAGGTTCCGCAAACCTTATCATAATCCTCATCTGCTCTTTATTTTTTATTCGTCAAAAAGGGGAAAATTTTTTTTTTCGATTTTCTATCACTTTCTTGGGAAAGAGATAATTTTATTTTCTAGATCTAGCTTTTGCGATCATGGAGATGGAGCGCGTGACAGAGTTCCCCCATACGCATATGGACCGGCGACCTAGAAAGCGGCCGCGATTGGGCTGGGACGTAATTCAGTTGCCACCTCAGGTATCGTCTTTTTTCTTCGATTAGATCTTTGATTTGCTCTTGGCTGATCTGGTTTTTTTTTTTTTTTGTATTCTTAGGGTTTTCAATTTGTGATTCTGTTATGCAAAGTTAGCATAATTTCACGCCTTTTGGCTCAGATCTGCAATTTTTTTTTCTATTAATGATCCTGTTTTGCAAAGTTAGCATATTTTCACTTCTTTTGGCTCAGATCTGGAATTTTTTTTTCTTTTTCAATGGATTTTTGTATAATATAATTAATTTATATTTAACTATAAATTTAATCTAATATTTTAGAAAAAATTCCATTGATGTGGATTTTTCTCACAAGTTGTAATATTTCATGATCGTTGTAAAAAAAAAGAAGAAAAATTTTCAGGAATTTTGGGATAAAGATAACTTTTTATGCTTCTTTCAGATTTTTTATGTTGTCTGTCTCTCTCTTTTTTTCTTTCTTGCTGGGGTATACTTTACCCTGGTCATTTTTTGTGGCTAAAAAGATGGGGTTGTAAGGTAATTAGGGAAGGTAAAAGAACTACTGATTTTTAATCTCTTAGTGGTACAATGAATGGATGGCTGTGTGTAGGCTCAGGTAGGAATGTTTTGTGCACAAGATGTTGGGCATGTGACCAGCTTTGCTTCTTCCAATGCAAGAGCACCCTCAGATTATGGTAGTACTATTACTGCTAGTTCTTCTCTAGGTGTAAAGGGAGGAGTGGCTCGCAATGGTTCTCCTCCATGGCGAGAAGATGACAAGGATGGACATTACATGTTTGAGCTTGGAGATAATTTAACCTCTCGCTGTAATTTCGCTTTTACCATCATTATAAACAAATTTACATTCATTAATTAGTAGTCTTGAAAATAATCGGTTTTCCAAAAAAATTGTTATAATTGTTGCTATTTGTTGATTAGGATAATTATAATTACAGAGTAGGTCAAGTCTAGATGGTTGACTATTTTGCTTTCAGCTAATTTTTTGATTAATTGAAATACTGTATTGTAAAGCACGGCAGTATAATCTAAAACACTATGTCTCTTCTTTTAAAATAAAGGGGCTTCTCAAGATCTAATGGTTTTTCAAATCCAATTTTTGATGATTAGATTTTTTTTTTTTTTTTTGTTGAAGCCTTCTCATTCTAAATATGAAAGAAATTAACAATGAATTGAATGGTTATCATTTTTTTTTTTCGATTCTAATTTCTGGTGCTTGATGGTTGCAGATAAGATACGGAGTAAAATGGGTGAAGGTATACCTTAGTAAACTTACAGCTCAGTTTGTTTTCCTATAGGCTTTTTCTGTCTAAGTGCTCCTTTATCTTGCTAGGCATCCATTCCCTGACCTTTCTTTTTTTTTTTTTACAGGTACCTTTGGTCAGGTCTTAGAATGCTGGGATAGAGAGAGGAAGGAGATGGTTGCCATCAAAATTGTTCGTGGAATTAAGAAGTATCGTGAAGCAGCCATGATCGAAATTGAAATGCTGCAACAGCTTGGAAAACATGATAAAGGTGGCAATCGGTGAGTTATCTTTAGCATTGTAAATAAATTTTGCTGGAGCTATCAACTTGGTAACCAACCTATTTTATTTTAAATTTGGTTGCAATGTTAAATGAGTTCATTCCTTGCAGTTTTGTGCAAATACGGCACTGGTTTGACTATCGTAACCATATCTGTATTGTAAGTATGATTGATTTGTAATGGATTGTTTTCCCCTGCTCACCAATAATTTGGGGGTTAAAACGTGTGGGTGAATTTAAATGGTTTCAACAGGTGTTTGAGAAGCTTGGACCAAGCTTATACGATTTTCTACGGAAAAACAATTATCGCTCATTTCCCATTGATCTTGTCCGAGAGATTGGCAGACAACTATTGGAATGTGTAGCATGTGTGTAATAATTACTAAGCTAGTTTCTCTGCCTATCCTATGTTACCATTTTTCATTTATTATTGTCTCTGACTGTTAAATCTTAAAATGAATTCCTGCATTTAATGCCATGAATATTTTTCTTTAACCATAGAGACCCCTTAGTCATTTCTTTAGCTAAGCATTTGCATTGAAGTATATTAGAATGATACAATTATTGTTCTCATTCTGGCACTGGTTGCTTAATGTTTTTCTTGTGTTAATATTTGCAGTCATGCATGATTTGCGTTTGATACACACGGATTTGAAGCCAGAAAACATTCTTCTACTCTCTCCAGAGTATGTCAAAGTTCCTGATTACAAGGTATTTTCTTTACTGGATACCATCATCCTTATTTGCAGCACAGTTCCATGTGTAAATTCCCTGTTAGGCTTTTTTACTCTAATCTGTGGCATTATGTAGGTGCTTTTTGCATCATTTATTGGGCTAATTGTTCTTTTATATTATCTTTCTACTGTCAAGAGTGCATCACGATCCCCAAAGGATAGTTCTTACTTTAAAAGATTGCCAAAATCAAGTGCTATTAAGCTAATCGATTTTGGTAGCACAACTTATGAGCGTCAAGATCAGACTTACATTGTGTCAACACGTCATTACCGTGCTCCAGAGGTTATTCTTGGTTAGTATTTTCAGGTTATTTTGGTTAGTATTTTCAGGTTATTACGGCTAAGAAACAATGCTTTAGAAAATGAGTGGACGAGGGATGTAACCTTGGTATTGTGTTTATAGGACTTGGATGGAGTTATCCTTGTGACATATGGAGTGTTGGTTGCATATTAGTTGAATTATGCACGGTATGCGCTGAAAATTCATTCTTTGTTTTTAGTAAGAAGATTACAAATTCATATATGAGCCGCATTTATGCAACTATTGATAATTTGACAGGGTGAGGCGCTGTTTCAAACTCATGAGAATTTGGAGCACCTTGCTATGATGGAGAGAGTGTTTGGTCCGCTACCTCAGCACATGTTGAAGAGAGTAGAGTATGTATTCTTATGATGGACTGTCAGTCTTTGTTGGTACCTTGATCTGTCTGTAAAGTTAAATGTAAAATTTCTGCATTCCAGCTGACATGCGGAGAAGTATGTTAGAAGGGGTAGATTGGATTGGCCAGATGCTGCTACCTCAAGAGAGAGTATCAAAGCTGTTCTTAAGCTACCTCGTCTCCAGGTTTTTATCTTTATTAATTAACATCTGAATTCAGCATTTTAGTGGATTGCTTTTTTATTTCTCTTATTTTCTAGTCTGATGTTCCTCTTTCTAAATCATTGCAGAACCTGATAATGCAGCATGTGGACCATTCAGCTGGGGATCTGATTCATCTATTGCAAGGATTGCTTAGGTATGACCCTATTGATAGGCTCACAGCTTGTGAAGCCCTAAGGCATCCCTTTTTCAGCAGGGACCAATTTAGGCGATGAGCGTGGCATTATGTGGCGTGGGGCTTTGGAATGCAATACTGTAAATTTTTCCGACATGAAATTGCCTCACTCTAGCACCATCTGTTGTGTTATAAACTGTATCGTGGTGCAAGCTAACAGATTTAACACCGACACAGATGGTTTTTAATTCAGAGGAGACTGGAATTTGTATCATTAGTTAGATTCAATGAAGCTTTAGAATCTGTTGTGTCGTGTTCCCATTTGGTTCTATTTATCATTTTTTGTAAATTTTTGGTAGCTAGGCTTGATCGATCCAGGCTGTTTTAAGAGGCTATATGGCTTTTTTACGCAATTCAGTATCTTATTGGGGCAAGTAAGACATTCTTATCTCTAATTGCGTTGAGCATGATTCTTGTTTCGTTGAGCAGTTGCTTCGGTTTTAATCTTTTATTGCGGTGTGCCAAGGTCTCTGCTTATAGAGATGAGAAAATGCTTGATCTCGTCGGTTTGATTCGATTGATTTCGATACTAATTGGTTAAAAATGTGACTAGGTTAAGTTTTTAAAATTGGTAAAAATGATTTTGATGGTAAAATTATGGAGTAAATTTTATTGGATCAAAATCATTACCAAATTATTATTTAAAATTATAGAAAAAAATGAAAGAATTGACCAAACTAATTTATTTATTTCAGTTTGGTTATTTTCAGTGGAGGATGGTTGGTTTCATTTACTCTTATATCATAACGTTTTGAAAAATAATGTTTGTTATATATATTGATTTTTTCGGAATTAAAAAATTATTTTTAATGTATTTATAAAAATTTTTATAAAACTAAATTTTCATAATTTTTAATATTAAAAAATTAAAATAATCATAAAAATAATTTTCAAATATAAAAAATAAAAATTTTAAATGTAAAAAAATATATATATATAATTGTATGGAAAAAGAAGTTGAGTTACAAAAATAATTTTTATTTTGGATCTGATTTCCCAACTTTGAATAATATCCATATTATAGTTAGGAGAAAGATGTCAAAAATAGAGAAGAAAAAATTAGCTTCGCATATTCTCAAAATATCCTTTACATCATGTTTTTTATAATGATGAGTTAGACAATAAAATTGAAATTGGGGATTATTTTTATTTTATGTATAGATATAAAATGTTGTAGGTTTATGAGAATAGCCCATTCATCACAAAGGTCAAGATTTTCAGTTAATCCCATTGTATTTGGAACAAGGGGTTGTCTTGAGGTTTTCTTTTTTGTTTAATATGTGATCGACAACCTTCTATATTGGTTTAATTGGAAGTTTATCGGATTATGCAATTGAGGGTAATTAAAATACGAGTGAATTTATCAATTGATTTTTTATTTTGTGACGTATTATTAAAGTTGGTATTTAAAAATTTTATTTTTAAAATTTAAATTTTTAAAATTATATAAATGCAAATTACATAGAAGGTTCAAAAATAAATTATGAATTAAAAAAAAAAAAAAAAGACAAAGTGAACTTGGTCGGTTAACTATCAACAGGAAAATCATCCCTCTTCGTCTACAACCAAATATGTTTTTGATTTATTCTAGATGGCCTTTACTCTTGATGTTCCAATGTTATTGCTTTATTTTTTTCCTGCGAATAAGTTCTTTGTTGTCGCTATAAGATAGAGTCGGAATTGAAGTATCAACAAAGTGGGAAAGACTTTCAATGAAATTTTTTGTATAAAATTTGTGAAATTTTTTTATAAAAAATGATAAAGTAAAAATTAAAATAAAAAATTAAAATCGATAGATTAAAATATTTTATTACATAAATTAAATGCATAAAATTTAAAAATTTTAATAAATTTTAATATATTTATTAAATAAATATTTTTAATAAAAATATTGATAAAATTTTTACCGTAAAATAAGTATCAATAAAATTTAAATTATAAACAATATTTTTAATAATTTTTTAATAATTTTTTATATTCATATTAAATATTATTAATTTATTGGTTTAAAATTTTTATTTATTTATTTTTAATAAAAAATTTCACGAACTTTACTTATGAAATTTCATGTTCAATAACTGGTGGAGATCTGGCATATATATTCAATTATTGGTAAATGTTGATTTCGTATTATTATTTTAGAAATATAAAGTTTTAGATGAGTCATGCATAGAGGTGTTTTCCTTTTATTTATTTTTTCTTTTTTACCTTGATTGGTGCCCTATGAATATTTTGCATATTAAAAAAATTTCTACAGTAGGGAATCTTTGATAAAAAATGCCAAAAATCATGTTCAAAGAGAGGGAAATATATAATATCAAGGCAAGATTTTAGTTGATGGTTAGATGCGCAAATGGAGCTATTGCCATTAGTGAAGCTGATGAACGTCGCTAAACTTTACAATCCATGGTTTCTATCTCTCATTCTCTTTTTCTCCCTTTTGATATGGCTTAAACTAGCCAAAGGGAAGAAGCTTAGTTTGCCTCCATCGCCACCAAAGTTACCAATTATTGGAAACATCCATCAACTAGGCAAACTTCCCCACCGCTCCCTCCGAGACCTCTCAAGGAAGTATGGCTCTTTAATGCTTTTGCAATTGGGGCAAAATCCAATTCTAGTGGTGTCCTCTGCTGATTCTGTTAAAGAAATGGTGAAAAACCATGATATTGTTTTCTTAAACAAACCAAGTACCACGGCGGCGGAAATCTTGTTTTATGGATGCAAGGATGTGGGTTTTGCTCCTTATGGAGAGTACTGGAGACAAGTCAGGAAGATCTGTGTTCTTGAACTTCTGAGTCTCCGAAGAGTTCACTCATTTCAATTTGTAAGGGAAGAAGAAGTTGATGTTCTTGTCGACAAGATCCGTGGTGCTGCTGTTAATGGAGATGCTATTAATCTGACTGAGACGGCAATGGCTATTTCGAGCAACATAGTTTCGAGATGCGTTCTGAGTAGGAAAGCTGAAGAAGAAGATGGTAGCAGGAGCAAGTTTGGGCAGTTGGCCAGAAGGGTGATGGTTCTGTTCACGAGTTTGTGTATTGGGGATATGTTTCCTTATTTGAAGTGGTTGGATATGGTTACTGGATATATTCAACGTTTGAAAACAACTTTTGGAGAATTGGATGCATTTTTTGATCAGGTGATCGAGGAGCATAGGGCCTTGCAAGCTCAGGATGATGTTGCTGATAAGAGGGATTTCATTTCTATCATCCTACAACTTCAAAAGGATGGCATGGTTGAGATTCACCTCCATCAAGACAACATCAAAGCAATCTTACTGGTATTTGATCTGTTTTTGTGGGTGCATGTGGGGAAAATTTTCTTTCAAATTTTCTTGTTTTTCAATTTTTAGGATGTCTATAAACGTCTTTACCTTTACATTTGCATCTATATGAAGTTTTTTGCATGACAATTTCAGGACATGTTCACTGGAGGAACTGATACCACTTCAACAACAACAGAATGGGTGATGGCTGAACTCCTGAAACATCCAAATGTCATGAAAAAGGTTCAAAAAGAGGTAAGAAATGTGGTTGGAAAGAAACCAAAGGTTGATATGAATGATATAAACCAAATGGAATACCTAAAATGTGTGATCAAAGAAACTTTAAGACTCCATCCGGCTGTGGCATTTATGGTTCGTAGAGGAACATCAGAAAGTATTAAATTGGAAGGTTATGATATTCCTCCAAACACTACAGTTTTTATCAATGTATGGGCAATTCAAAGGGATCCCAAATGGTGGGACAAGCCAAAGGAGTTCTTCCCTGAGAGGTTCGAGAATTCCACAGTTGATTTCAAGGGCCAGGATTTTCAATTCATCCCATTCGGCTGTGGGAAAAGGAATTGTCCTGGAATGGCATTTGAGGTTGTTTCTGTTGAATATTTGATAGCCAACCTTCTGTTTTGGTTTGATTGGAGGCTGCCTGATGGAGAAAATGCTGAGAATTTGGACATGAATGAAGTCTACGGGCTAACTGTTAACAGGAAATTCCCTCTCCAAGTTCTTCCAATCTCTGATTCATCCTTCCTCTGTAATCAAAGGATGTGATAATTTCTCTTTCTTTTCTTTTTTTATCTCTTAAAAATAATTGCATGATTTAAAATAAGATTGTCTTTTGCTATATAGAAGTAATGTTTAACCAGCTGCATCACAATTGAAGAACTTGAGCATTTTGAAACAGTCATCAAGAATCATATAGTTATTATGATATTAATTTAACCAATAACATTAAACTGAAAACTTGGAAATTTTTTTTAAGAAACATAGAAAATTCTATATGGATCCATTGACTTTGATTAATTCTTATGAGGTTTTGACCAGACCACATTTTTGAGTTGAGATTTCGTTGTCGGACCAAACATTACGTTTTTAAAAGGAAAATTAATGTTATAAAAAGAAATAAATACAAAAAAAATTAACTTAATGAAAGAGAAAGATTACGGAATTATCAATAATTTTATAATTTATTAATAAAATATTGAAATTTTAATTATAAAGACATAATACTCTTTTTTAATAACAATAATAATTATTATTATTATTATTCATATATAATCTGTCGAATTTTTTTTTTTTTTGTTTTTTAAGTCAGTTATACTAAGTGGTTCTTTTATACATAGATTTGATTTGAGACCATTCATTCATATTAGTATAATTTGTTAATTTGTTTAAATTTTTGAATTTAAATTATTAAATTTAAAAATATTATTTTAATTCAAATGAATTATAAATTTAATTTTAATTCAAAAATTAAAAAAAAACGTAAGCGTCACATTAATATAAATGAATTTCTATTCATATATATATATATATATTATTTCGTTAAAAGTTAAAACTTTCATTGGAGTAAAACTAAATAGATAAATCGGAGTAAAATGCGTTATTTTTTTATTTGGTTTTTTGTAAAATTAAAAATTTATAATGTTAGTATATTAAAATCAAATTAAAAAAAATTATCTTGATTCATTTAAAAAAAATAAAAAAATAAAAAATGATATGTGATAATCTCTTAATTTTATTTGTGAAATTAAAAAATTACATTATCATTTTATCAAAAACGAACTAAAAAATTATCTCATTAACTGAATTTTTTAGACTCGTAAATGGTGACAAATAAATAATTAAAAAAATTAATTAAAAAATGGGACATGTATTAATCTCTTTTTTTGAAATACATGTGTGGTATCTTGATCTTACATGTGGAGTAAAACTATTATACTATTCGTATATCAAATACGAACCCAAAAAAAAAAAATACTTCTCAAAAATAAAATGAAGATAAATAAAAAATCTTCCTAATAAAGTAACATTATAAAGTGAAATAAATGTGTATATCCAACTCATTAGGCAATATTTAACAAATAAATTAGTCTTATTCATTTGGTAATACATTTGGTGGGTTATGAAATTGAAGCTAACTAACAAACATAGTAATCTATATTAATTAATATACTTAATTAGTCAGCATATATTTATTTTTCCTCTTTTCTTTGTCTTATCATTGTATTTCTTTTAATGATATGATAAGAAAAACAAATCGAAAGTAATTAAATTTAAAATTTTAATAAAAATTATTTATAAAATAAAAAAAATATGTTTCATATTTAATATATCAATACAAATTATAAAATAAAAATATTCATATTTTATTTATATTTGATACGAAATAAATAAGCATGAGTACACGAATATAAAAGAGAAATTGTATATAATCCATCGTCAAAAGTTTTAAAAGAAAATAAATATACTAAGATTTAGAAAAGAGAAATTTAATTTATATATTTTTTATAAATATTCTTTAAAATTTTGCATTGATTTTTTTTTCTTTTACATATATGAAGACTTTTTTTTTTAGTAAGAAAAATTTGATGTTGATAAACTGCTCAATCTTTTAGATTAAAGTAAGATATATCGTATTTGACAGTTTAAAACAAGTGATTGTAAGTCGTGCATTCGAGATGATTTCAATAAATGACCATCGATAAAACTTAAACCTAAGAGTTTTTCATCAAAAAAATTAACCTTAATCGATTGAACCAATTACTTATTGATAACTTACGTAGATATCGCCTACCTTTTATATAAGGTGGATAGCTATTTAGGTAGTGCCGAGCTATAACAGTAAACATTTCTTTGATGAATAATTTTCATAATCATCAGTGACATATGCATTTCAGATTTAAATTTATGTCCTTTTAAAGACAACATTCAAAACTTAAAAAATAAAAAAAAATTTAAAGAAAATTTTTTATTGAACATTCTTAAAATTTATTTTTGGAAATCATTTTCATCAATAAAATTATTAAATTCATCGATAATTTTTTATATATATTATAAATAAAAACTCTAAATTTTTTTTTGAATATTCCATTAATAAAAATAACCAAGATTGATGATGGAGATGGGAGTTCCTTGGAGTTTGATGTTGAGCTGAAACTGGCGTGACAGAACCATTCTAAAGGAAGCAGTAAATTTATTGAATTAAAAAAAGATGAAAATTAATTTAAAAATTAAAATGATCACAAATTTTGATCATAGATTTATTTAAAAATACTTTGTTTCAACTAAGTTTGGAATTTTTTAAAAAAATTAATTTTTTCTGTCTCTTTACTCATTATATTTATCTGATTGAAAAAATATTAATTACGTTTATGTACATAAAATTTTTTATATTTGCAATCTTCAAACACCAATAAAAATTTTATACCAACTAATCCAAGCATCAATCGGTGATCGAAGACGACATTATGTTTATGTACATAAAACTTTTCACATTCATAATCTCCAAATGCTAATAAAAAATTTATACCAATTAATCCAAAATATCAATCGACAATTAAATTTAAAAAAAAATTTAATTTTGCTCTTTTTAAAAAAAAAAAAAAGAGAAAAATAATACCTAGAACGACCTTTGCCCATATCTTTTCAAGCCAGTTGGCATTCAAAAGCAAGTTTGATTTGTAATTTTGAAAATTTTAAAGTTAAAAAAAAATTAATAATTAAAGTTAAATTTGTAATTTTAAAATTTGAAATTTAGTATTGACTCGACACAAAGGATAAAATTTATGGGATAAAACTAGTAATTTTTATTGTGTAAGATTAATTAATGGAACCAAACAATTTTTTTTATACAAGATATTTTCAACCTCAATAGAATTAATTTGAAATTTTAATTTAAAAATTTAAGTTCTAATTAATTTAAGTGAATTAATAAGAATAGATGAGAAAATTAGTGAATTTTTTGTGCACTGAATTTATCATAAAATTAATATATTTCTATATTTATCAATAATAAAATTTAAGACCTAATAATAATAATAATAATAAGTTAATATAACTTCTATATGATATAAAAATAATAAACTGAAAATGGTTGGAAAAAATGTTATTTATAAGATAAAAGGGAAATTACTTTAATTTGAAAACCAAATTAAAGGATATGATGTATTTACTTTAGATGGGATATATTTGAAAAAGCATTAGACAGAGGTTAGCTTAAACAAAAGATAATGAAAGATAACTATATATTAGCCCCTCTAAGGCTCTTGCATCCCCAGCATATTCAGTTGTTAATAAAATGGTAGTAGTATTATTTAGAAAAATAAATTTCTAGATGAATTGGCTCCAACTTCATTTATACTTTTTTGTTTTTATTTTTTTTATTAATTAGTATTTCTCATCCAAGCTTATGATTGAATTGTAAATATATGTATTTTTTCTCATATAGAAGTTCAAGCAAAATTTAATTTTCATGGAATGCACACGGTGAAATTTTTTATCTTAGTTAATAATTATGTGATGATCTGTTAATTGATTAAGATTCAAAATTTGATATTATCAAGAATGATTATCAAAGATGATCACGGAAGTATAGAAGACACTGAAGAGATGAATTGTGCGTGGAAACTAAAGCTAACAGCAGATTAGGTATAGAAGGCGAAGTACTGAGTTTCGTGATTATATTTGCAAATGGAGCTACAGCCATTATTGGAGCTGATCAATGTAGCTGAACTTTTCAATAATACATTGTTTCTAACTCTTATTCTTCTTGTTTCCCTTCTAATTTGGCTTAAACTAACGACAGGGAAGAAGATGAATTTGCCTCCAAAGCTACTGGCCAATCATCGGCAACATTCATCAACTAGGCAAACTTCCCCACCGCTCCCTCCGAGACCTCTCTAGGAAGTATGGCTCTCTCTTGCTTCCACAATTGGGGCATAATCCAACACTGGTGGTATCTTCAGCTGAAATGGTTAGAGCAATCGTCAAAAGCCATGATATTGTTTTCCTGAACAGACGAAAGACAACAGCAGCAAATATCTTGTTCTACGGATGCACTGACGTTGGTTTTGCACCGTATGGTGAGTACAGGAGACAGGTTAGAAAGGTCAGGGTTCTTGAGCTTTTCAGCCACCGAAGAGTGCAGTCGTTTCAGTTTGTAAGAGACGAAGAAGTTGAAGTCCTTATAAACAAAATCCGCCACGCCTCAGGTGAGTCTATTAATCTGACGGAAATGCTGACGGCCGTTTCAAGAAACATTGTTTCTAGATGTGTTCTTAATCGGAAAATCGAAGAAGAAGATGGAAACAACAAGTTTGGACAGTTGACAAGAATGTTGATGGTCCTCTTGAAGAGTTTCTTTGTTGGCGATATGTTTCCTTACTTGAGGTGGCTGGATTTGCTCACCGGATTTATTCCAAGTTTGAAAGCAGTTTCTGGAGAATTAGATACATTTTTCGATCAGATAATTTATTGAGGTGCATAGAGCTTTGAAAAGTCAGGACTTTCTTTCTATTATCCTGCAACTCCAAATGGATGGCATGCTTGAGATGGACCTTACTCAAGACAACATCAAAGCAAACTTATTGGTTATTCAACTCTCTCTCTAACCCTTTTTTTTTGGCACATTTATATGATTTTTTTTTTAAAGGAGGCCTGAGAATAAGAAAAAGGTTGCAGCTACTGTGATTCAAATCCCAGATCTGTTGGATTTCATCTATTAAAAATAGCTGCATGAATCAATTGAGTTAAGTTCAGGTTAATTGGTTTATCTGAAATGTTTTGTTTTGACAAAAAATAGCCCGGTTGATTTCAAAGGCCGAGATTTTCAGTTCATCCCATTTGATAGTGGAAGAAGGGGCTGTCCAGTGATGCCATTTGGAATGTAAGTTTCCTGCAAATGGATGAAATGGATGAATTCCTTGATTCAGTGTTTGAAGAGCAAAAGAGTTTAGAAAATGACATGGACGATCACAACACAAAGACTTTGTGCAAATCCTCCTCCATCTAAGTCAGAAGGACGGCGTGCTGGATACAAGACTCTCTCAAGACAACCTCAAAGCAATTTTACTGGTCTCTCTCCCCTTCCTTCTTCCCTCCCTCACATTTTTTAGCAGGCCTAGCAATTGGTGAATTTGTATAGTGTAAAACACTGTCAATTTGTGTAATTAGTGTATTTGTATTATATTTTATAAGAAAATTACATAAAATTCATGTCAACACATAAAAGAGAAAGCATGTATGATTTTTGTTAAAATTGTAACCCTGTCAATTTTCATATTTTTTTCGTATCGTTTTCTTGTTGTGTTTTAAATTAAGAAGTCTATTTCTGAGCTGTACAGCTAAACTTTACGTTTCAATATTTCAGGATATGTTTGTGGCAGGAGTTGAAAGTACTGCAACCACGGCAGAATGGGCAATGGCAGAACTCTTGAAGAATCCAGGGACAATGAAAAAGGCCCAAGAAGAGGTTAGAAGAGTGGTAAGGAGAAAAGGGCAGGTGCATGAAGATGACATCAACCAAATGGAGTACTCGAAATGTATTGTCAAAGAAACTCTAAGGCTGCATCCTCCTGGTCCTTTGATGACTCCGTGAAACATCTGCAAGAACTAAGCTAAGAGGCTACGATATCTTGCCTAAAACAAGAGTGCTTGTCAATGTATGGGCAATTCAAAGGGATCCTAAATTATGAGATAGGCTGGAAGATTTTCCTCCCCGAGAGATTTGAAAACAACCCCATTGATTTCAGAGGTCAGAACTTCGAATTCATTCCATTTGGTGTGGGAAGAAGGGGTTGCCCTGGGATCTCATTTGGGGTTGCTGTACTGGAATTTCTAATTGTCAACCTTCTGTATTGGTTTGATTGGAAGTTGCCCTGTAATGCCGACTGTGGTAGCTTGGACATGACTGAAGCCTTTGGAATAGCTGCCTATAAAAAACTTCCTCTCCATCTTGTACCAATTGTTTATTGTTCTTGATGTATCTCATTGTTCACTAGTGTTTTTTACAATGAAATAATACAATTAAAAGTTGAAATCTCTCTTGAGCTGACAAATAGCTGACAAATGGCCAAATCGACAAACAAAAGTGGTCCAAAATTGACAGAAGAAACATCTATAGGCTCACAGGAAAAGAACAAAAAACATCAAACAATTGTTAATTCATTGTACGTAAAAGATCTTGGTGTTGAAATTAGTGATCTCGTATGAAGAGTTTTCATTATTTATTCTGATTTAATTTGTCTTTTTTTTTTTTTGAGGAAAATTTTGTCTTTATATTCTAATGAAGTTGTAAATAAAAAAACCTTATAATTAAATAGATCTGCCACCTCTAAACAAAAATCATGAATATCATCAGCCCCTGCATACAAGTAAATTATGTTTGCTAGATGTTATAGTCAAATGAAAAGCTGCATCAGATAATTAACTTTTTAAATTTATTCACGAATTATTCATCGAATATTCTATTTGTTTACTCTTCTAATTAATCATGTATCCTTTCAATGGCAAAACTTTGATGGCCTGGAAGGGTTCTTCTAGAGCTCTTGTTCTGACATGTAGGTGTGTATCTCCTTGAATACTAAGATCCAGAATTATTTTTCCCCAATTCATTTTTAAACTCAAAGTTTAATATCCATGTGATATTTTGCATTTTTTTTTTTTTGTTGTGTTTAGGGCTTGATAGTGAAAGGCGATATCAAGCAAAATAATCATCTTCATTAATTCTTATAAATGCTAAATCTGCTTTGTTTTGACTTTAGTTCGTGCAAGTTCTAGAACTGAAGAGAGATTATGTTATGAGTCCAGCAATATTGTTGCAACAATGGCGGCAAGAGTTTAATGCAACTGTTCTGTTCAATAGTGTTATCTTCTTCCCCTTCTGTTCTTCATTGTGTGTTTGTTTAAGCTTTCAAGAAGTAGGAAGCTCAACTTCCCACCATCTCCATCAAAGCTACCAATCATTGGCAACATTCACCAAGTAGGGAGACAGGCCCACCGATCTTTCCGAACCCTCTTGAGAAATATGGCCCCTTAATGCTCTGGCAGTTGGGACAAACTCCAACTCTTGTGGTTTCATCTGCTGAAATAGCCAGAGAGATCTTAGTTAAACACGACTCTTTCATGGAAAGGCCTCGAACAAGTGTCGCCAACACTCTCTTCTGTGGCGCACTGACATTGCATTTTGTCCTTAGGGTGACTACGGAAGATAGGCCAAAAAAAATTTGTGTAAAAGAGCTTTTAACCCAAAGGAGGGTTCGGGAGTTTCAGCTTGTGAGGGAATAAGAAGTTTGAAGAATGATTGGGCATATAGGGCAGTTGTGTCATGGTGGATCTGCAATTGCTCTTTGTGAAATGTTTCAAACCATCACAAACAATTAATCTGCAGATCTGTTTTTCGTCGAGTATATGAAAGAGACGATGGAAACAAGAGTTTTGGAGAATTATCAAGGAGGGCAATGGACGTTTGAGTAGCCTTTTGCTTTAAAGATTCCTTTCCCTATTTGGGATGGATGGATGGATGGATGTTCTTACAGGCTTGACTACAAAATTGGAAAGAATTTCCGGTGAATTACATACTTTTTTTGATTAAGTGATTGAGGATCACCTGGTTATGATGAATGATGATGATAAATAAGACAACAAAGACTTTGTTGATATCCTTCTTCATCTTCAGCAGGAGGGCATTCTCCACATCGGTCTTACTCAAGAAAACCTCAAGGCAATCCTACAGGTACTGCTTTCTTTCCCCTCCCTTTTTTATGGTATATAGAGGCTGCAGCCTAGCATAGGAGAAAAGGTTTTAAGTGCTGGGAATCGAACCCTAGACCTGTCGGATGCCACTAGTTAAAGGTGGCTGAACCAAAGGAGCTAAGCTGCGGGTTCTCTCCCTCTTTTCCTTTCACATAAACATACAAATCCTCATCCTGATTTTATTATCATCCCAATTACAGGACATGTTTATTGGAGGAACTGACAATTTATCTGTAACAATGGAATGGGCAATGGCAGAGCTTGTGAAAAATCCTAGTATAATGTAGAAAGCCGAAGAAGAGGTAAGAAGAGTGGTGGGAAAAAAACCAAGTGTCACTGAGATTGATGTCAATGAAATGGACCACTTAAAATGTGCTGTGAAAGAGACCCTGAGAGTACATGCTCCAGTTATGCTCACTCAACAAAATCCAACAGGTACTCAAGTGGAAGGCTATGATATTCCTCCCAAAACAATTGTGTTGGTCAATACATGGGCGATTCAAAGGGATACCAAGTTACGGGACAAGGCCGAAGAATTTATCCCGGGGAGGTTTCTAAACAGTTCAGTTGATTTCAAGGGCCAATACAATCAGTTTACTCCGTTTGCTGTTGGAAAAAGGGGTTGCCCTGGAATTTCATTTGCAGTTGCAGGAGCTGAATATGTCTTGGCCAACCTCTTGTACTGGTTTGATTGGAAGTTGCCTGATTCCAGACGCTGCGAGGATTTAGACATGGACGATTATTATGCTCTTGTCATTAGCAAGAAAGTACCACTGCATCTTGTACCAATGCTGCATTCTTTTTCATAGACCTGCAGTCCATTGTTTGCTCATGATCTTAGGGTTAGAGGAAGTGATTTGGTATTTATATTTCTGAAGGTCATGATCTCATTACAAAGAGCAAAACAGTCTTGTGTTATCTCTTCTGATGAAATCATTTTGACTTAAATGCAAGATGGCAGTAGAGTTTCTGCTCATTATTCTAGAGGAAAAAGATTGAGGATAAGTTATGTCACCGAAGATCTCGATCTAATTGACACTGTAAGTTCTTATCATGCTTCTTGATGTTGAGGACTATAATCCAGGATATTTTTCCAGTCTTAGCAGTCAATTTAAATATTTATGTAGTAGAAATGGATGGTTGTGACAACAGATGCCACATATTTATACAAGGATACTGGCATCTGCGATTTAATCGATATGTACAACTTGCCCTAAACACAATATCAGTATATTCCTGCATTTCAGGCCAAAAGTAGTAGAAAAAGGAATGAGAAACTTAAGTTATACAGAAAAGAAAGTCATACAAATCTTGAGAGAGCCTTTGTAACATTATCCATGGTGGGTCTGTGATGAGGATCCTGGTCAAGACAAGCCTTGGCCAAGAATAGAAAGCATATAGCATCAGCCATTGGATAATCTCCCTCCAAATTTGGATCCATAAATTCCTTCAACTTCTCCAAGTACCCTGAAGAACATTCAATCCCTACATCTTCAAGAATATTTACAGAATCCTTCAAAAGTTCTCCATCTGTATCAGCCTCTTTAGCTGATAGTAATTCAAGCAAAACAACGCCAAATGCAAATACATCCACCTTGAGGGAAGCCAGACTATAAGTAAGGTATTCAGGTGCCAGGTACCCCTTTCTACCCACAATTATAGATTCATTCCAGCTTATTTCTCCGATTTCTTCACTGCATATCACTGGTTTTGCCAATCTAAACCCAGTAATTTTTGCCCTGCAATCGGTGGTTATAAGCACATTTCTACTGTGTATGTTGTGATGGATAAAGGAAGGTTTTGTGCAATAATGTATGTAATGGAGACCGACTGCAAGATCGAAAGCAATCTGAGTTCTTTTTGCCCATTTAAGTTGCCTTGCAACAGTTACATTGGACAAGCAGTCCCTCAAGCTACCATATTCTGCAAACTCGTACACGAGATAAGGATTAGTGCCGGAGTAGCATCCCTCAAGCTTCACTATGTTTACATGGCTAATCTTTGTCAATATGTAAATGACATGGCGAGCTTCTTCCTCAGTGTTCATCTGTTCAATTGCCACATAGGAACCACCAATTTCCCCCCTATACACAGCTTTACCAATCATGCATCCCTCATTGAAATCCTCAGTAGCATTGCTTAGCTCCTCCAAGCTAAAATTCGTTAATGACTGCTTTAATTTGGACATTCTATCCAGAAAATCAGGCGAGACGTTTGATGACACTGAACTTCTAGCAGATAAAAGCTGAAAACTCGTAGGTTGACGCCTTTTCCTAATGCTTCTAAAAGCAAAGACAGCTGCAATCAGCAGAATAACCACTGCTAGAACACCAAGTCCTAGAAATATATATGAACTCAAGTGCTTTGATTTCTTATTACTTGGTTCAATTTTCACTAAGGGACTTGCTACTCTAGGACTAGAGGGTAAATCTTCAGGAACATCTGAATTCACCACCGGAACATCCTTTGTGGGAACAAGTAGTGTTGTTAGAGGAAAAATGGTTGGAAAAGGCTGCAACTTATTGGCATCCCAGATAACTTCTTCAGGTACTCCAAACTTGCTAGCAATTAAATTTGTATGATCATTCTCTATCACAGGATACGTTACAAGAAATGTCACCCCATTTTTTCTTTGATTTGAATTGGGACAAGCACATCGAATCGGCACCTTGATCATGAAGTCACCAGGAACATTATGTTCAGAGTCAGGATTCTCCTCTTTGAGACTTTGTGCTTTCAACAGCCCTTCAAAAACTCCACAAGCGACTGAAGCAAAAGAATCAGTTCTCAAAAAAAGGTACAGGAAAATAGATTGAAAGAATGAACCAGCGCAAGAGCATTCGAGAGGTATGATTATCTCTCTTCTTAGCTTTAGATTGCTAGAATTAGCTTCAGTCATGTGGTTGATTTCAAGGAGATCAAACACGCTTAAATTGAAGAGAGATGAAATAGATGACATTGATTGAAAATCCTTTTGAGCCCTGTATACAATGTAAGTATCGCAGGGAAAATCTTCTGGGGTGCAAAGGTAGTTGGACCCTTGAACTTGAGATTCTGCTGTGCAATTGGATTCGTCATAAGATTGCTGCGAAGACATGGGCTTGATCAGCAAAACCAGTATGCAAAAACTGATCAATTTGTGAAGAGAAACCATGATTGCAGATTGGAATGTGAAGCTGACTCAAAAAAAAAAGTACAAGGTTGCTACTAGCGAGTGCTTTGCTTGAAAGAGTCTTGAAATCAAGGAAACTCATTATATCAAATAATCCAGGAATATGGCCGCCCAGCCGGCCTTTCATCGCTTTCATTGAGCAGGAGATTTAGTCTTGTGTCAGTGTAATGGTCATTGGATTGCAGCATTTGGAGCACTAGAATTTAATAAATCCCCATTGAAGATTTACCCATGCATATGACTTCACTTGAGATTTTGTAGCAAGAGTATGATAGGATAGGGACAATAAAGTGAGAGAAAATGGGGAGTTTTCTCTGTTTATCAGCTTGTTGTCTATTAATTTAGCTTTTGTACAAACAGATACTGTAACTTCTGATAAGCCATGGTCTACTAACCTAATTAGCCTTCATTTTCATCTGATTCAAATATGAATGTCATTGAATCCGAAGTTTATTAACTCGTACAATCATTCTTAAAAAATAATATTTTATAAATTTAAAATTTAAATCTCAACACCTGTAATTTTTTTTTTTATTGCTGTCGCTTTACGAGTCAAACTAAATCTTTGAATAAGAAAATATATATGTAAAAGAAGATATACTTATGTGGTTTAGATTTCTTCATATGGAATCTTCAAAATTAGAAGGGACAAATCCCATAAGAGCAGACAATAGAATGAGCACCATAAAAGAGATTTGAATAATTGTAGTAACACTTGGCTTTGGCTGGTTATTATTGTAGAGCGAGGAATTCTTCTATATTCTCTCTTATTCAAACTTTGATTCTCGGTTCACGTGACCAGTTTGTGATAATATCAGTTATGCATCTGTATGATTCTGCCGAAAATTGTGTTTCTGATCACGAAAGAGTCAAGACCTTCGGTTCATTGAACAATTTTCCAGTCTAAGTGCTCATTTGGATTTCTCTGCAGCTATGGTGTGGTGTGATTGAACTTATTGCATAATTAATTAAATTCAAATATCAATTTCATTGAGATTTATTTAAAATAAATTTTTCATTAAAATTTTTTTTAATCGTAAATACAATAATTTTTTTTTCAATTACAATCACAATAATTTTTATTATTTTTTTTAATTTTACCATAATTAATTTAACCATCCATTCATATGGAGCCTAATAATCACTTGTCACCCCTGGTCTGGCCACATTTCAGGCACTCTAACTAAACAAGCAAAATATATTTTTAGATCAACTTCACCACCTCACTCACATGGTGGACACTCAGAAATTAATCTATTCAAAGAAAAAAAAAATAGAGAGGTAATCTAACCTACTAGCATTTCAACACTGCAAACAGTCGCCTGATCTATTACTTAAAAAAATAAATTATTAATTTCCACAATTAGAATTCAAATACTAACAAGCTTAAATAAAAAAAAATTGCAAAAGTTTGCCTTTCTTGTAACAATTCACACAATTTGATCTCGTTTACATGACCTAAACCTGACAATTTGCGTCGTTATATTGTGTAAAATATTATATTTATATTATATTTTATATAAAAATCACGTATTATAATTCGTGTTGATATAAAAATATAAAATATAATTTTTTAATTTTATTAAATCTGTTTATAATTTTTTTTTTAAATTTTAAATCTTGTGATCTTCATATCTTTTATTCATATTGTGTCACTATATCATATTTCAATTTGTCAGGTCTAGTATAACCCATTCCATTAATAGCGGATCTTGATATTTATTTTTAAGGGGATCAACTAAATACTATATTTTATCTCATTTTCGTAAAACTTCTATCACATATATACACTAATAAAAAATAATCAAACACATAAAATATACTAATAAAACATAACAAAGCACATAAAATTGTAAAAATAAAAATATTACTATGATAGCATTAAAATTTTAAGAGTAACATTTTCAAATTAATATTAGAATTACTAAGTGTATTATCATGCCCCGAATCGAGACATAACACAACCCTATTACTTTGAAGAAAATCTATTGTCACGCCCTGAGATCAAGATGTAATACATCCATATTACCTTGAAGAAAATCTCAAAGTAATACGAAGCCTTCTTTCTTAAACATTCTAAAATTCTTCAATAAAACAATTTACCAAATAAAATTCATATCTTTAATCCAACTGATTATACATTTTTATATATCCAAATACAAACCATATAAAATACAAACCTGCCTCTTAAAATCTCATTGGTCAACATATTCTCCGACGATTAAGTAATCTTACCCATTTCATCTTCTAGCTTCACACAAGACTAACCAAACTTATTACTTAGTCATCTGTAAAGAAAAAGTAAAAGGGGAATGAGCAAACCACAGCTCAGTAAGTATAGGCTCACACACCTTACCAGATCAAGCATCGTTTTCTTACACATCATATAGATCATTCAAAACATTCATCAAATCATAATATCAAAATATTTCAAGATCATCGTTTTGTCAAATATTTCATAAATTCATAAATCAATGTCAAAATATGCCACTTCATAAATCATTGCAAAATATGCTATCATTCAAATATCATAATCAAACCAAATCATGGATCAATCATTAAAAATCATCGTAAATCATCATCATCATAAATCATCGTTATCATTAGTTTATCGTTAGCTACGGTCACTGCTATAACTCGTGACATTGATCGTATCGATAATTTTATCCTCATGATCATTGCTAACTATTATAACCCGTTAGCCAGTGCCTTACGCTAACTACTATTATCCGTTAGCCAAGGTCGTATGATCATGTCTTTGCTAACTACTATTACCCGTTAGTCAGGATCGTAGGACTAGTTCTGGTGTCGATGATCCCACTTCCCAAGGATGTAAAAATGTAGCCATCAAAAATCATTTTGTAATCATAAATCATTTTCTCATTTCATTCATAAGCATGATCCATCATTTATATAGAGAAACACAAAATAATTATATGCTTGATCCTATTTTCATACATCGAAAATAAAGAAATAAAACATTCTTTCATTTAGAAACATATATATATATATACATAGATTCGAAAATAAGCAAAGTGTGTGAGTATATACATAGATTCAAAAACAAACAAAGTGTGTGAGATTCTACTTACCTCTTTTCGATTCCACCACTTAGATTTTCCCTCAAAATAATTAATGACCTATGCAAGATCATTTCAACAGATCAAAACTTAATCAACCCTTTTTGAGACCATTTATACGAAAATCAACTAAGTTACACAATGGTTAACTTAACTAATTAATATTGGCAGCCTAACCTCTTTTCATTAAAACAGTAATATCTTAATATATCCAAAAGTAATTACACTTTCTCTTAACTACAGTATAAATATCAACAAAATAACTACACTAAGAATCCATTGAATCATTGATTCCTCAAAATTCATTAAAACTTTAACTACTCCAAAATTCATCGAATCATTTACTTATACTCACTACTATAGTTTATGGAGCAAAGTTATGTCCTTAAAAAATTATCACATTATCCAGAGGTCATCATCTAATTCTTAAAAATCTTCACATAATATATAGATTGTAACCATACTCATAGAATATCTCTTTCAATCCAAGGATCATAAACTATATTCTTTGAAAATTACCGTTAATTTATTTATCATAAATTAACTTCTTAAAAATCTTCAAAGATCATAATTGTAGTTCTTAGAAAATCCTCAAAATCATATTATAAGCTCTTTAACATCTCACATAGTTTAAGGATCATAACCTGAACTCTTAGAAAATCTCCAAGAAACACAAGTTAAGCTTTTAAAGAATATCTCAACACAATCTACAAATCATAATCTACCTCTTAAAATTCTTCAAAGATCGTAGCTTAAGCTCTGATACAATTTTTGTCACGCCTCGAATCGAGACATAATACAACCGTATTACCTTGAAAAAAATCTATTGTCACGCCTCGAGATCAAGACGTAACATGACCATATTACCTTGAAAAAAATCTCAAAGTAATACGAAGCCTTCTTTCTTAAACATTCTAAAATTCTTCAATAAAACAATTTACCAAGTAAAATTCATATCTTTAATCCAACTGATGATACATTTTTATATATTCAAATACAAACCATATAAAATACAAAACTGCTTCTTAAAATCTCATTGGTCAACATATTCTCCGATTATTAAGTAATCTTATCCATTTCATCTTCTAGCTTCACACAAAACTATTAAGCCATATGATCCCATTTCCGAAGGATGTAAAAACGTAGCCATCACAAAATTATTCTTTAATCATAAATCATTTTCTCATTTCATTCATAAGCATGATCCATCATTTATATAGAGAAACACAAAATAATCATATGCTTGATCCTATTTTCATACATCAAAAATAAAGAAATAAAACATTCTTTCATTTAGAAACATATATATATATACATAGATTCAAAAACAAGCAAAGTGTGTGAGATTTTATTTACCTCTTTTCGATTTCACCACTTAGTTTTTTTCTCAAAATAATTAATGGCCTATGCAAGATCATTTCAACATATCAGAATTTAATCAACCTTTTTTGAGACCATTTATACAAAAATCATCTAAGTTACACAAGGGTTAACTTAACTAATTAATACTGGAAGCCTGACCTCTTTTCATTAAAACAGTCATATCTCAATACATCCAAATCGAAATTATGATCTCTTTAATGCGTTAGAAACTAGATAAGCTTTCTAACCATATGTGGCACATCTCGTAATTCCTTGTAGATTAGTTATAACAAATTTTGAAATCCACGTCATATACTGCTGCCAAACAGACTGTATACCTTCTAATAAAAATTATATATTTATTCACAGGAAACTCCAAATTCAATTATGCTTATTTCATTGGAAAGTAGACTCAATAAGCTTTCTAAACATATATGGCTTAATCTGTAAATCCTTGTATACAAATTAAGAAGAATTTCGTAATTCAACCTTGATGCTGCTATCTTATAGCCTACATATCCTTAAGTTAAAATTAGACAA